TTGACCCATATGGGTGTATTATGCAATAAAGAATTATTATTATATTACACCTCAAGAGAGGTTAAGCTAAGGGCGTCCCATATTTTCTTTTGAAAACCAACAGGGCGCCTGTGTATTTGTAACCCCACCGTAACTCGATATATTTGCATTTTTTAAATCATGGAAAATAAATAAGATTGTACATGGCAAAGAAATTTATTTTTTTTTTTTAGTCGAAAGTCAAAAGCAACCGTGATGTTTGGAGCTCCGAAGTTGAAATAATAGGAAAAAGATATGGAATGGTTAGTATACAGTACTATTCCTTCCATCTTACTCTACCTTCATACAAATTTTCATTAAAATATCTTTTCAAAGAAGCCTTTGACAGCACTTTTTGATGTTCTCATGTGGACAAAAAACGGGAATTTCCAGTATGCTTAACATTCGAGATTCTGAGGTCATTTTCGGATTTATTACGTCATAGAAAAAGAAAGTGACGTCGAAATAAGTACAAATTGTCCAGTTTTTTTCAATGGTATCAAATTCATTAACTTCGTGAAATGGTAAATATTTTATTAAACAGTTCTCAGGACTTTTCAAATGCCCCTCGTATTAATGGCCTACAGATTCACAGTTCATGAGACAACACATCTTTCTCCAGACATGGTGGTGCTAGAGCGGGAGGCAACCACTCCATTAGATCTGATGTACGAGATACCACCGGATATAAAAGATATACCGTCTAATCGGTGGGTCTGGATTCTGTGTGAACGTTTGGATACTGCGCACAAAATCGTTGGAGAGCATACCGAAAGAGAAATGCTTCGCCAGAAAAGATATGATACCAGAGTTGCATGGTCCTCGTTTGAACCAGGGGAAAAATTCTTGTGTAAAAAAAGTGGCTATCCTGCAAAATTGAGATCATTTTGGAGGGTTCCTTAATTGTCCGATTTTCTTTACACAGTAGCATGCGGATATAGAGGCAATAGAAGTGTAATTCATTGCGATCTTATGCGAAAGTGTAGGTCTCAAATATTGAGAGGTAAAGAGAAAGAGTTTTCTGAGGATGAACACGAGATCTAGAATGAAACAGAAAACTGATCTGTAGACAGTGGTAATGAGCAATTTGCCGCAGATGATGAATTGTATGCACTTCAAAAGCAGGCCAACGCGTACGAGACGCTTAATATTACCTGCTTGGCATGATGATTTTATTGTAGAATACAAAGTAAATATTATGCGAATTATTGTACATATTGTAAATAGTCATTTGCCTGATTTTGTTCGTTTGTAGAAAATGGTAAATATGCATGTATATATATAAACATTCAGTTTTGTTGTTTGTGATTTAAGAGGAATTTGAGAGGCATTTCCTGGAGGCGTGGGTAATGAAGCGAAGTTGTAATCGAGATCAAAGTATCCCTCCGATTCTCATTATTTGCATTGTGATGATTTCCTGTTTCTTTGCGTTGTTCCGTTCGGTTCTCAGCAGGTCATGTGACAAGAAGGGTATATATACTGAGACAGTCGGATGATTAGTTAGGGTGCTGCTGACGGCTGATGTCATAAGACAGTTTAGAACAGAAGAGCCAAACGTGCTGGGTACTGTGAGTGATACTTGAATGAAGTCTTACGTGCCTGTAATAGGCTTTCTAGACTTTGGTAGTGTATAATTATATATACTGTATTAAGAATTGGTTTGGCTGAAGGTCAGAAGCTAATGCACTTCAAACCTTGGAAGGCGCCTGCTCTCCAGAGAAACGGCAGAGATATTGTAAATTCTATGATTGAGATCTCAGAAAAATTTACTTGATTAAATTGTTCAGATAGAACAGCCACATCCCATAAACGAACCCGGAAACGTTACAATATTTAGATGTAAGAATTCTCAGACACTTCATTCAAAACCATGGCCCTTAACTTGGGGTAGGATGGAGCCTCAATCCGGTGTCAACGGTTTAGATGGAAATATATGGGAATAAATATTTAAAAATCTACCTCCAAAAACAGCAAGGTCATGATTAGTACTTGTGTATATTAAGCTGCAATGAACCTCAGGTAGGCTGATCCAAATTTGTTCAAATAATGGTCCCAGGGGTAAGGTGGACCACAATAGGAGATCAAAGTTTTATATTGGAATACTGCTTCTTCAACAAAAGTGGAACACATGAATTTGCAAACCTTGTCATTGGTCATCTGCAAACATTAAAAAAAAAAGAATCTACACTTAAGTACACCGAATTTGATATGAAAAAGTTGCTTGAGTTTCTCATTGCAGGGTTGTCCCTAAGACCCGGGGACCGGAATTTTCCCGGCTGTTATGACATTATCCACCGGTTATTCTGGTATTCTCCCTCAACCCCCTCTTAGGAGAGGAACCCCAGACCCCCTTCTACTTGTTTAATGTCCCCCTTAGGGACAACCCTGCATTGACAATATCTATGTAATCTTCGGAGATCAGATCTTCCAACAATATGTCAGAATTCCCATGGAAATATATATTTTAATTTAATTTACAAAATATTCTACGTGATATTGATTTTTTTTTCTGTTCGAAGTTTATACTTACATTTTTGGCATGCCAAACAAGATGCAATGGTGTTTGGAAGCGGTACTTATATTGTTCAACCAAAAGACAAATTAAAAGCGTCACACCCAAGTTTTGGCCGTTTTTACTTTTTTACCTAAATCTACAGTCACATATTTTAGTTCAATTGACGGGTGTTTCTAAAACGCGGAACGGAAAACGGAAAATTTGATGTGAAGTTTTCACTAAGTACAGGTATAATTCAGACTTAGGAAGCAATATTCTTTATCTAATACATGTAGATCATATCTAATTAAAAGTTATCGTAACAATGTGATTTATTCATGATTTTTTTTCCTCAAAACATGTGGCATATATACATGCAATGGTCAATAAAATACACAGTAATTAGACTCACATCCTATTATCTATCAGAATGTCTCACTTCATGCGAAGATCTAGAGGGGGGGGGGGGGGGTTCGGGGGGTCCAGACCCCTTCCCCCTGCAGAGTTATTAAATGTATATACTAAACCAACTAAAAGTGAACTTGGACCCCCCCTCCCCCCTCGAAAACGCGGACCCCCCTCGAAAACGCGGATCTGTATAAAGTTGGTACGAAAAGTCATAAGTATTGAGCTTTAGAAGTCAACGACTACCCCCCCCCCCCCCCCCCCCCGAAAAAGGTTTTTCAGGTTTGGGAAAGGACGGTTTGTTTTGTTTTGTTTTTTTTTTGTTTTTTTTTTTTTTTTGTTTTTTTTTTTTTTTTTTGCTTGTCAAGAATTTTCTAGATTTGAATTTTTTTTTTGACTGGGGTGGAACCCCCCCCCCCCCCGGAAAAAATTCCTGGATCCGTGCCTGCACTTATCACTCATCCAAATCTGAATTTAAAAAATGGCTTATTCGTCAAAGACAAAATCATCATTATTGATAATAAAAGGGGCAATGTTGTTTTGAAACAGGCGAAAAGAAAGAGAAAAACAGAGTACATAATGCTATACATTTGTGTTAGAGACAACGATCACTGGCATTAAGGAAACAAAATTTTATTACAACTACAAGAGTGTTGATGCTGTGCACAGGGACCTGAAACCGGGATTTAAGAAAGATAGCATACATGCTATATGACCAAATTGTGCAAAACAGCACAAACATTCCACAGAATAACGTCAAGATGAAATTGATGGGGAAATGGCATATTTTCGAGAAAATATAAAGTTGTTATTTATATTTTAATAGGGGGGGGGGGGTTACAGAGATGTACGTTATCAACACCTAAGGTGCATGGGTACATATGCATTGAAAATTATGGAAATTTTCGCTCAAAACATGTGACATGTATATATGTACGGCATTAGATATTTTCTGTTCCGTTTTCCGTACCCTGTCCTTTGTCTATGTTCAGACATCTTCATAAATAAGAGAATGAACATGACTAAATCAACTCGTATTTTAATAATTAAGGATTAAATATGAAAAAAATTATATGATATATACTGTTCCTGGTATTTTTTTTATATTTTAAGGGATTTAACCTGGAATCGCACTTTCCGTTCCGTTTTCCGTTCCGCGTTTTAGCAACACCCGTTTGAGACGAAAGCAAAAGAAAGTCCAACCCTTAGAATCACGAGTGCTACTTTAAGCTCCAAACTATCTTTTTTTGTATTCCTGAATTTACTTGTAATAAATTGGAGCGCCTACACTCGGAACTCGTATCTCATATATTCCATTCACACCAAGATCTCGATAGGCTTCCAGGGTACATTCACAAGAATACCTATCCTAAACAGAATGTGCATTTCAATTTGGATAATCTAAACAAAATTTAAGATGTCGAAAATGCAGAACTGAAAAGAATTTATGACGCCTTTTATGCGCAATAATTGGATATCATTCATCCCAGTCATTTGCTAATAAATATACTTTGATCACACAATAAGTTTGGTCCTATTAGTTCTGTATTTAGCTATATTTAATGTATTTCTTTATCGCTTCACTTGTGGTTACTCTGATTTATGAGTTCTTGGCATCATACCCGCCTTCAGTGAATTGTAAATAACTACAAATAAATAGTCCCGCATCTACTCTCTAGATAAGGAAGTCAGACTTGTAGATATTAATCTACAGAATTTGTGGGTAAAAATTAACAGGAACGTGTTATTCGTGTTAGAAACCAATTCTTAAGTTCCAGTTAAAAAAGAAAACCTCTTTACTCAGAAATGTAGACATTCAGAAACCTAGTCATATGCATGTGATGTGTCTCTATCAAAAAATTGGAGGAGTTTATAATTTAAAATAATATGAACAGGGTCCCTAGCTGTCTATGTAAAGACAGAACTGACGGTGTGGGGAGTGGGGCCAGATGAAAACTAGGACTAAAGGTCTTACATAACTAGGCTACAGTTATATATAGTTGCGTGTTCAAATTTTAAACATTGTTGTGAAGGTTCACTGATTCTACTAAAATGTTCTTTTATTGACTGTTATTTCTCACACTGGGACTTTTCGCTCTATTAATTTTTTTAGCAGAATATTTTTTATTGTAGCACAAATGGCTTATCACTGAATGAATGAAAAAGATTTAGCCGGAGGATTTGTTTCCGGAGACCAATGACCAAAACATTTGTATTAGGTATCATTGTTTAATGACCCTGTCGTCTGCGTCAGGATAAATTGCAGACGACATGTGGAATGCAGATTGACTGGAGGTTACGAAAGATATAGGTAAGTCTTGTGTCTAGTCTTTATAGTTTTTTTTTCATGTAAGGATTTTTCGCATATTTATCATAAAGATTTGAACGAATGCAAATCCTGAACTCGGGTAAAATCACTATGTACAAAATAGACCTGTACAATATATAGTTTATAGCAACTTGGCGTTTGAATGTAGGAAGCTATCAAACTTCTGTTTACTAATAAATCACATTGTTTTTTAAAGCACATTCATTATGAATAAAATGTTCAATCAATTTGAAGAGTTTTGTAACTTTTGTTCAGCATTACTGAAATATTTTTGCCGTTCGGGTAAAAGATTCATTCAATTCATTTCCATGCTTCTTGAATGTCTTTTTATGTCTATTTATTTTTGTGTATAATATCTATGTAATATTTGGTAACATATTTCTACCAGTACCGCCGAGACATGTGATATTAATTTGAAAGAAAAATAAACATTTAAAAAAATCTTAAATTAATTGAGTTTGTCTATTGTTAGTGTTAGTATGACAGCAATTATATTTTAAGCCCCTAGGTCGAATAGACTGATACTCGGGTATTATTCTCAGTAAATCTGTACACGATAAAATTGTTTTTCTTTGGAATTCTAACATCCTTTTGGTATGTACTTTTGCACAATGCTTTGTAAAATCAAGAGTGCGAGACTGTTAACATTTTATTCAACAAAAAGAATAACAAAGTAATGCTTATTGAAGATTTAACATTGAAATACAAGGAAACAGTACAAACACAGTCACATTATCAGAAGAAAAATCTTAATTTCATTCCGATTTTACTTTGATGATTCAATAAATTGTTTACAGATTAAGAATGTCTCAAAATCTTACGGGAACGTAATATTGCTCCAATTCCTAAACGAAAAGCCGTTTTAATACATACCAGAGCGGATCAGACGTCGGTTATAGAAAGCAACACTATTTACAATTCATGACCACCTATATTTTTAAAAGCCCCAGCTATTAACACGTCTGTGGCCAACAGGTGGTTGCCCTGTGTTGGGAAGACCTCCTGCGTCTTGTCCATGTCAAGAATTAGAGCAACTTACCAAAATTGTATAAAGTATCACTGGTTAGGATGAAGTAACACTTAGAAATGAGGTTAAACGAATTTTAAAAGTAGTGCATAATAAGTGTACGTAATGAAATAGAGGAAAGAGGATCCAAAACGAATAGCTTCAAGGTATTTCAGCTTTGACCTTGTTTGCCCCTTGGTCCTCATGACCGGGAGTCGACCCAGGACGGGGGTTTAATTGCACTCTCATAAAACCACATCGCAGTGCCTTTTTATTCTGTCATCATAATGGTGCACTAAATTTTACCGACTGTGAAAAGAATATGAAATCAAAAGATACCGCATGTGAACTCTATTCTACACAAGATGGCTTCTCTCGGTTAAAAGTTGAAGCTGTCTGTTCAAGTTATGAGTATATAATGGTTAAAATGGTATTTTTAAAATAAAAAAAGTTTTTTCTCCTTGCCGATTATCGTTCACGTGGGATATTAAGTGATTCAGCATTTTTAATTGGGCAAAGATTGTAGTTCCCGACAATATCTTTTTAGTCTGTGTAGGAATCAAACATCTAGGTAGGCCAATAATTTGTTTTAAACTTTGACTTGATAATGATATAGTATAGAAAAAACCACCAGGAATATTTTTTTTTCTATTTTCCTACATTTAAAAAAAAAGGATATTCATGCAATAAAGAGTCATTTAAGCCCACAGTAATATGTTTTTCCCCCTACATTTTCTTAAAATAACTATGATAACTATGCAATGTAGACTCATTCAAGGCTATTTGAACATGTTCGTTGACTAGGAAAAAAAAACGAAGAGTTTATATCTATGTATAACCTCAATAAATACGTAAACTACGTAAATCGGTAATTTGTTTTCACAGTTTACAGGTACTGACGGCGGACAATGAAGAGAAGGAATTGAAAATGAATTCAGAATGAGCAGAAAGAAGGTAAAATTATCAAAATGAGCTATTCCTCCTTTGTGATCTAAAATAGCTTGTTAAATTCTCTCTATAAGCAGGAAAGTAGCATCGTTTTTGAAAGTTGGGGGCGGGGGGTTGGCAGCCAGAGAAAAAAATTAACTTACTTGAAAAAGCTTGATAAGCCACGAAAAAAAAAAAAGAATGAACATATTTTCAATAGTTAAAGGTTATGTTTGGAAAAAAGTGGGGGGGGGGGGGCTATCCCCCCTTGATGCTAAGTGCCTGGTATGTAAGAATTTGGTGCAATTAAAGAGTTATTCATTACCGGAGGGGACGTGTTAGTTTCGAGGTTTTTTCATGTTTTTGATTTGATTTAAAATACGGTTTTTATCCTTACTTTAAATTTGAATTGAAACATTGAAATAGAAAGTACATGTAATTCCATCACTTGTATTTTATTTTAATAAAGTTTTTAGTTATTTATAGAGTCAGAAATACAGAAAAAATAAAGGAGATGGGCGAACAAGGCGTGCAAAATGCCTATAGCTTTAAATATATAAAAGTCATAATTATTCAGTTTGTGAAATCAGTGTTTAGAGTGAAGGTCTTATCTTTGAAATATATGAAATAATGACAAAGTTCGATCTTCTGTGGAAATTTAATTCTATGATAAAAACGTAATAGATTGGGGTCGAACCCAAGCAATAAAAATCCTTCAGAGTATCCATTATTTTTCCTTCGAAACTAACACGCTAACCACTGTACGCTATACCTTGAGATTTAAATCATGTTTATGACATGACTCTTGACTAAATGGACTTAAATATTTCTCCGAAAGATAAGAATTTTGTGTCATAAAAGTAAAATTTAAGGTATAGTTTGTATATAAGGGGGCTGACTGGGGTTTTCATTGTGCAATATTTCGCGCAGCATAGTAAAATAAGCGTATAAACTCTTTTAAAGCAACTATTTTTGCATAATTTAAAAAAAAAATTAACAAATTTAGGAAAGCTCAGGTTAAAAAAACTAATTACATTTTTAAATAACTGATTTTTTAAGCGATTTTTCAAATGATTGGTACAGTGTAGATAGAAGTCGTAATAGTGTGTTTTTGACGTTATGAATAACAGAAGTTCTTTAAGCGGGGTCATTAATTATGTCATAAAATAAAAAGTATAAAATAGATGCAGATGCTCTTGAAATTTTAAACATAGAAAATTGAGAATCCCACAATCATTTTTATTATTTTTATGTAAATCTGTGGTATCTGTCATGATCTGTTGTACTCCATAAAAACAGGAAAATATCATGAATTTTGACATTTTGAGATGTCCCCTCTGGAAACCAGACTGTAGAATTTTGTGTTTCTTGCATAAAATGTACATTATAGTATTTCCCATCAAATAATATAATTTGAGCAAAAAGTTCATAGTAACATTTGTATAATTTGCTCCTAAGTGCGAAAAAATGGTATCTTCCTACATAATCCTATAGTAAATGTACCTCTTATTTTGAGACGGTCCCTAAAAATAACCAGACGGTAGATTTTTACTAAACTTGGTTTGTATACAGAAGTCTATATAAGGTACATATGGTATAAAACCAGAGAGTTTCTTTATAGTAGTTTTCACACAATAAAACCCCAGTCGGCTCCCTTAATTAAATCACTGTGAGATTGTTGCGATTTGTGGAGATTTTACAAAAAGTATAGTACGGTAATGTTAAAGGAAATATCAAAGAAAATTTTTTCATAATTAAAATGTACTTTTTGACTTTCAAATTTGTCGCATAATAGGCATTTTGCTCGCCTTGATCGCCCATTTTCTTAATAGGAAAGGTATTTTTACCAAAGATATTTCGTTAGTTTTGCTAGCATTGGTCAGAAAAATAGAATAGTAAGTTTACGTATAAAAAAAAGTTCGTTTTTTTTTTAAACTAAATTAATTTGCAAAATACTAGTATGTTGGTATGTTCTTAAGTTTGATTTTTTTTTTTCACTGTCCTTAATTTGGCAAATCGTTTCCTCTAGTTTGAAAAAAAGGGCACTGTTACGAATAATAGTCCTCGGTAATGCCTAGAAATAATACCCGTTTAACTGTTTTTCCATACATTCTTAAAATGTGGAGGTCTTTTCTCACACACAGCCATGCAAATGTTGACAGGTAGAATCTATCACAATCTGTCAAATAGCTCATATTTTCCCAATTTTTTGTTTATGAAAAAATTGAAACTTCATAGCACTAATATTATTAGTAAAATGAAAGCCTGGTAATGTCAAATTAGGAAAATGAGAAAAAATAATTAATTCATTATTATGAAATAGTAGGTCGTAATAATGAGATTTTTAGTCGTTATAAAAAAAATTACGCTTTAAGGTAGTCGATATTGCGAGATAAAAAGTCGGAATTTATAGTAGAATAAAGTCGTCATACGAAACAAGAAGTTGTAATAACGAGATTAAAAGGTCGTTCTTTCTTTAAAAAATGTTTTTACGACTTTTTATAAAAAAAAATAAATCTTGTTATGAAATGGTAATAACAACTTTCTTAAGTCGTAATAATGGTTTTTATCTCGTTATTATGACTTTTTTTTCCTAATAAATTCAACTTTTTCAAGTACATGTAGTTAAAAACGACTTTCAAAAGTGGTAAAAGGATTTTTTTTCTCGCTATGGAGGCTTTTTATCTCATTCATTTTTACGACTTTTCAAGCTCTGTTTACACTCTTTTAATCCGTAATAATGACTTTTTCTCTTGTAATAATGACTTTTTCGAGAGGTAACAGTGACTTTTAATCTAATTATGGCGACTTTAATTTTAATCTCGTTATTCCTACTTTTTATTAAGATTTTTTTGCTACCCAATTGGACCCTACAAGGCTTTCGTAATAAATATAGTAACATTTTTTTTACTTAAAAAAAGGGAAAAATCTTTTGCAATCACGTGGTTTATTGACTAGCAAACCTGTTTAATCGATAATGAATAAACATGTATACACTAGTCTTTCTCGATAGAACTGTTGTCGCATCACCTTGTATCTGATGTAGTTAGACATGAGGATAGGTTAACGTGTCAGTGTTACGTATACATATGTATTTTATATGGCGGTCACTATGTCTCAACAGTACTCACTGCGTGGTCAACTGGTAACCACGGACACCAAGGACCTAAGTATAGACACCACTTATCTACCACACCACCAAACCAAGGAGGAGATCGCACTAGACAAAGTAAGTGAAAGGGGGCAAGAATTTATCTAGTAAAATATTAATTTGTTGGGGGGTTTTTTTTTGGGGGGGGGGGGTTAGAAATTCACACTTTAGTCACGAGGTAGACTTTTAAATTAGTAAATAGTGCATTTTTTATCGTGGGATTAAGATTTATTAATATTTACTCAATACTCAACGTTTTTGTGCAATGGGAATGGTAAAACAGCATACTCTGGTTAGTGGAGTGTTTTATATGATAGTGGGTTATCTGATTTTATATGGATGTTTTTGTATCAAGTTTCCTGCTTTTAGTTCAAGTTGAAAGTACAAGACTTGATAAAGCCAGACCATGACGATTTTTACCTGCATAAATGGCTCAAAGGTAGGACTTCAATTTCTGTATCCTATAAGTAAAGCATATAATATTTTACTGTCTTTTTTCTAAAATCTACAAATAATATTTTATGTTTTAAAATCAGAGTCCCGTTTTATTACTTTACAGCAAGGTGTTATGACGTGGATAAAGCAGAGAAGATGTTCAGAACGGTACGAGTGTATTTTTAATAAAGAGAATGGGTTTAATCATCCAATACCTTCTTCTTGATCAAGAATTCATACAAACTGAAAAGAAATCAGGAATTTACAATTGTCACGGAATTGATGTTTAATTTACATAATTAAATATACTGAATGAAAATAGCTTCCGTATTTGGAAATACGGTTAATGCCACAAAGATGACGTAACTTTGACGATTTTTGATTTCAGAGTATGGCATTCCGAGAAAAAATGAAAGTTGATACAATCTTAGAGGACTACAAGCAACCAGAGGTTTTAAATGTTTTTATATATTTTAAAAATAAGTTAAATTTACATGTAATATCAACTGATTTTGTTACACCATTTATGACGTTATACAGGTCTCCTAGCTTTGATTTCAATATAACTTTTAAGCAACACGTGGCAATATTCATCCAATGGGGTTGTGTGTCTTTTTCTTGAGAGAAAAAGTACATATTTTGTTTTCTTTTGACAGGTGCTTTGTAAATACCTTACGGGAGGGTTCTGTGGCCATGCCAAGGACGGATCCCCTGTTCGTGTAGAACCGTACGGACGCCTGGATATGAAGGGTCTTATGTGTTCAGTGAGAAAATCAGACTTGGAGAAGGCCAAAATACAACAATGTGAGGGTACCGTCCGTGACTGGCAAGAGGAAAGTAAAAAAGTAGGCATAGCCTCGGCATTACAAGTATTCTTTCTTATGGTACTATAAATCACTTCCTATTCGCGAGAACCACACTTTTGGAGTTATTACACGAGACTGTCTGCTCACGAAAAATTCATTCTCGTAATTTTTGCATTCATTAAGTTTGTTTATATCTATGTATAACCAAAGTTAGTGAAAAATTTGTTTTGCTGTAACTAAAATAAAAGAAAAACATAATAATCAGATAACTATCTCGCGAAAATAAGGTGTTGCGAAGGTTTGGTGATATACAATATCTTGGGCAAGTTGATTAAAAGTGGGTAACGTTGAACTTGGGATTGCATTGCCTGTTACGATAATTTATGTCAAAGGAGTAAGTGATACTCTGAAGAAAATAATCCTTCAACGATTAAAAAAAGTAATATGGTATCCTTTATTATAGATGCAACTTAGACATAAAAAACATGCTTAAATTACCCCAAAATATGTTTAACCTTGTTTTGCTTGTTCATTTAATTTCATACTGCAATGGCGAAAGTACATCTTATTTTTATAGCTCAGAATCCAAATAGTAACAGTTGAATTTCTACTCTTCTAGGAGATCAGATCTTTTTTTCTACGATAATGACTTGCTATTAATCAAGCATTCATTTTGTTGCTATATTTAAGAAAAATCGTCAAGGAATTTCATAGTCATGTTGTACGAGATTCTACTGTATTTACTCACAAAGAGGCTTAGTTCTTTTAATGTGATTACAGAAACATACATTTCGTACTATGTTGTTGAAAAAGGAGAAGGGTAATCTTCGATAACGTGACATTCTCGTCATGTTCTTGATATCTGAAACTCGACTAGGAATCCATGCTTAAAACTTGCCAGAACATCAACACACTCCCATATGTCTCAAAACAAACCAAGTAATCTGATTTAAGCATGGGTTTGATGCATCAAGTCACAAAAGTATAGGCGTTGTGCAAGATGTGTTACATCTTACTAAGCAAGATGAATAAACTAGAAATACGATTACATGGTAATGCCACTAATTTGTGCAGCAATCTTGCATAAGTGTATAGTAGAATGAACCTAAGTATAGACGACCAGAAGAAAGACAGTGACCTGTTACTTTATGTTTTAATTTTTTCAAGCAAGTTCAAATGATTAAAGATAATCAAAAGTAGAAGTTAAGTGCAGAAACCTCCCTTTTTCCTAGTCTTTTGGTGGAAACCTTTTTTTTTTTTTTTTTTTAAAAAAAAAATGTAAATGAATTTGATAACCTTTCCTACTTAGGAACAAACTGTACCAAATTTAAACAATGACGTAGATCTGTAATAAGACACTTGTTTTAAAATGTCTTTTTACTTACAAATGAATTTAGCGTGGATACCGGGTTGATGGATTGACAGTTGTGTTTGACATGGCAGGTGTTGGAACCAGGATGCTTTGGCGACCAGGTAAGCATTTTATATATATATAGAATTCTTCCCCTTCTCAGATTTATAAATTTTTTACGTATTCTGAAAACTTCGAAAATTATTTTATTAATTGATTATCAGTAAATTATTAATGGATATCCTCAAAGTTAGCTTGTTAAATGAAATAAAAACTATAAAGCTTGAGTTTTAATTTAATCACTTTTTCCACAAATGCCCTCATAATAACTTTTTTGGGCTTGTTCCTTTATAGATGCCTTTTCATTTCACTTTGTATACTGATTTTGATTTACGGTCTTTGTTGTGTTGCAGGACTTAAAATGTATCTTCATTTGGTCAAAGTTTTAGAAGACAACTATCCAGAGATGATGCGACGTCTGCTCATTATAAACGGTAATATCTCTTAGAACATACATTTAATTTTATTGCAGAGATATAATATTAAGTATTTAAATTGGAGAACCAGAGTGTTATTATTAATATTAATCATTTAAACATTTCAGCTCCAGGAATATTTCCACTTTTATATAAGATAGCCCGTCCATTGATTAGTGAGGATATGAAGCAGAAAATTCATGTTATTGGGAGTAAGTATATATAAATGTATAAGCAGTGTAAATTAAATTTGTTTATTTTCCTTTACATGGAGCTTTGTTATCATGTTCTGAATTGAATAAAACGCTGCTGTGAACTCCACGGTATAATGTACCTGAAATTATATAAATGAGACCTGTTGATTTAGTTGTAGGTGATTATAATGGCTACCGAATGCTTCATGATGTAAGGAATATAAAAAGTACCCTTTAAGGCATATTGGTGCTTAATGTTATATAGCCATTATAAGAAGATATTGTTATTTCATTTTGTAAGGGATTATAAGAAGTAGCTGTTGAGGTTTGTTTATGTTTCAAGTAAGGGATTAGTATCTGTGGAAGTGATGTCTTAAGACATTATACGGAATACAGGGTTTGATGAAGTATATGGAAACCTTCTGTCGTAAGGGATTAAAAATGAGTATTCAGTTACATATTGGTTTTTACAAGAAAAGCTGTTAAGGTTTATTGACGGTAATTTTGTAAGGGATTATAAGAAGTACCTGTTGAGGTATATTGACGCATCAGTGTAAGAGATTATAAGGTTTATCCACGCTTCATATTGCAGGTGATTATAAAGAGTACCTGTTAAGGTACATTGATGCTTCTGACCTCCCAGCGTGTTATGGTGGTACTTTAACGGACCCTGACGGAGATCCAACATGCAAAACCATGGTAGGTTATTTCCAAAACTCTGCGACATCAACTTAAAAAAACGAGTATACGTACTGAACATTCCTTGTGCACATTTCTATGTAAATTAGTAAAATAATATGGACCATGCTTTGCGGGCGCTCTATATAGTGATAAGTCTGTCTTGTCCAGAGCTTATTTTCTCACCACCCTTTGCCCAGTCTGACTTTTACATCACGAACAGACTGCCCAAGGAAATTAGTGTGCAGGGATCTTGTTCTACAAGTTTCTATATAAATGGTCAAAACAGGTATTTTTGGGGGGAAAATCTTTGGCACACTTTTTCAATTGGTTAAACATGGATAATACTAACAAGTTCCTTGGGTAAAAAGTGTACAGTGAATTTTCAGACTGAAATTTCTTGTTTAGAGGGCAATGCCAGAGCAGTTCTTTGCATGACATCTTTATCTGAAGTACATATTTTTGGAACATTTATTCATAATCATACTTCACAGTGACCTTAATGTAACATTCTGGACAACGATAAAGGTCAAAACAATGTATGAAATCCTTGTCCAAAACATATTTTCCCTTTATTTGTCCCAATGTGGCACATACTTCACCTAAGGAGTGCCACTGGGTAAAGGATGTGCAATGTAAGGGTCAATATATCGTTGAGACAAGTTTTAAGGTCAGGGGTGAAGATCGAAGTAGATTGTATGTAAAATCCTTGTTTAGACTACTTTTTGCACTTGGATAAATTTGGTTCACATTTCACCCCGAAGAAATCCTTGAAATGAGTCAGAGGTCAAGATCAAATCAACTACGAAAAGGTGAATATTTCAGCTACATAATGAACTTTATCAAATTAAAATCAAATTTAGTTGATTGTTTGATTGATTTTTACGACCGTAGCAAGATTACCATACCTATTCTGGATTCCTAAACTTCATAAAAATCCTTACAAATAAAGATACATACCGGATTCCAGTAAATGTTTTACTAAGCCTATTTCTTTACTCCTCACTAAAATATTAATAGCAGCGAAGGAGAAACTTCAGGAGTACTGTTCAACAAATATATTCGAGAAGAGGTGTAAATCAGATGTGGATCCTTAAAAACTCAAGGAACTTTAAGAAAATTTGAAATTGCAAAACTTTACCCCACGATAAATTAAGGTCCAGACTTTTTGACATCATAGACAGCTGCTTTTTCAATTAAAATGGAACTCGTAAATTTACTTACCTTTTCATTGGTCATTTGCAAAATTATTTTGTAAAAAATCATTCTGGTTGTACACAAAGGTACTCTGAAGTTGATATTAAAAAGATGATTGGGTTTCTGATTGACAATATCTATGTAGTATTTGGAGATCAGGTCTTCCAACAATATGTCGGGATTTCCATGGGTACCAAATGCGCCCCGTTATAAGCAGACCTATTTTTGTATTCATATGAAGCAGAATTTATTCAAAAACTTATACATGAGAAGAAAAAGACACTTGCTGTGGCCTTCAACTCGACATTTAGATATTTCGACGATGTATTAACAATTAACAATAGTTACTTCCTTTCATTTGTCGACTCGATATATCCTAGTAAACTTGAAATAAAAGATACCACAGAGTCTGACATATCTGTTTCATATTTGGAAATTTTACTAGAAAAAGGCGTTAAAGGTAAGATTTGGGATACCGAATCGAATAAATTCTTTACAGTTCCTACGAAAAAATGTAGATTTTTTTATTCTCACTTTTAGATCTGCTATGGAGGAGATGTGCCAGAGAAATATTTCTTGCAAACCGCCGACTTTCAAGAGCAAATGCAGACTGCTACAGTACCTCGGGGAGATAAGCTTACAATAGATGTTCAAGTGAATCGTCCAGGGAGTATACTTAAGTAAGAATAGCTTAACAAAGACAAATCTTTGAAGTTAACTACAATAAAATCAGTAATCCAAACCAATCCATCCTTTTTCCTAAACCTGCCTAACGTGTTCCTCCTGAAATACTGAACCAGTTTTAAGGCATTTGCGAAAAGGAACACAGATTATTAAATTCGATTTCTTTGATCGATGGACAATCTTCACTAGTGACAATTTATATAATCGTTATCAAATTTAAAAATAAACTTAATATATACTAACTAACGTTGCGTACAATTTACTTTGATCATGTTTGTATTCTTGCCATCATAAGTAACTCTGAGTATATAGACCGCTGTTCTTTGCAGAAGCTGTGATTGCAGACAAAGAAAAACCTTTTCATTTGAAAGTAATTAACATCTTTAAGTTTGCCTGTTTTTAGCTCTACTGGTCAGAGACCAGAAGAGCTTATGCGATAGTAAGGTGTCCGTCGTCCGTCCGTCTGTCTGTCTGTCTGTCTGTCTGTCTGTCTGTCTGTCCGTCTGTCTGTAAACAATTTTTCAAAACGCTACTCCTCCTACAGTTTTGGTCCGATTTCAATATAACTTGGCACACAAGTAGACTACACTAAGATACATAATTTAGTGCATCGGTTTTTGATTTCGATGGACGGTGTTGCCATGGTTACTAAAAATAGAAATTTCTGTGAAATTCCTTTAAAACGCTACTCCTCCTACAGTTTTTGTCCGATTTCAATATAACTTGGCACACAAGTAGACTACACTAAGATACATAATTTAGTGCATCGGTTTTTGATTTCGATGGACGGTGTTGCCATGGTTACTAAAAATAGAAATTTCTGTGAAATTTCTTTAAAACGCTACTCCTCCTACAGTTTTGGTCCGATTTCAATATAACTTGGCACACAAGTAGACTACCCTAAGATACATAATTTAGTGCATCGGTTTTTGATTTCGATGGACGGTGTTGCCATGGTTACTAAAAATAGAAATTTCTGTGAAATTCCTTTAAAACGCTACTCCTCCTACAGTTTTGGTCCGATTTCAATATAACTTGGCACACAAGTTGACTACACTAAGATACATAATTTATTGCATTGGTTTTTGATTTCGATGGACGGTGTTGCCATGGTTACTAAAAATAGAAATTTCTGTGAAATTCCTTTAAAACACTACTCCTGCTACAGTTTTAGTCTGCTTCTAATATAATTAGGCATACAAGAAGACTATACTAAGATACATAATTTATTGCATTGGTTTTTGAATTCGATGAACAGTGTTGCCATGGTTACTTAAAATAGAAATTTCTGTGAAATTCCTTTAAAACGCTACTCCTCCTACAATTTTGGTCTGATTTCAATCTAATTTGGCACACAGTTAGAATACACTACGATACATAATATGTATTTCTGTTTTTTTTTTATTTGGGTGAGTGGTGTTGTCATGGTTACCCGTACTAAAAATAGAAATTTCCGTGAAATACTTTCAAAACGCTACTACTCCTAGTTTTCATTTGATTTCAATATAACTTGTCACAAAAGTAGACTACATTAAGATACATAATTCTATTTATTGTTGCATGTTGCAATGTTTCAAATCCAAGTGCTACTTTTCTTTTGTTATACAAACAGACCAGTAGAGCTACAGTCTCATCAGAGACTTCTGGTTGGAAAGTACATGTAAGGAACATTTCAACCAAACTATTTTTAATTAAATGTATACATCTTAATATTTTAGGTGGGAATTTAAGACAGAGAACTACGATATAGGATTTGGGGTCCTTTACCAAACTTCCAGTGGTACTGTTCCAGTGGTACCATCATCACGTGTTAATAGTCACGTGGTCGCAGAGGATGGAAGTTATATATGTGATAATACGGGAACTTGTAAGTTTGAACACAAATTGTCTTATGATGACTAACTAATATATGCACCGTAACTTTTCTTGATAGAAGCAGTTTGTTTATTTGAAAACTGAAAGGTACAGCCATTAAATTGTATCGTGTAACAAATATTTTTCCTGTAGGATATGTTAATTCAAATAACATAATTATGCAGTGTAAAAGAAAAGGAAAGAGCATATATACATTCATACTGTATAAAAGCAATTTCATCTATCGTAGTTATATTACATGCACTTAATTTAGAGGTGCAAAATTGTTGACATTGTTATGTAATAAAAATAATGTTATGTAAAGAAAAAGGGACAGAAACCATAAAGTTAGTTTTAAACGTAACAACAAGAATTTCCATGTTCTGTGATTGGATATGGTTTTTATACACGGAATTGTGTTTTCTACCCCCTCGCCAAAGACTCGGTGATAGATATACATGTATAAATAATATAATATATCTGAGTGTTCTAAATGAATGTAGATAAATTATGCAAAATTTAATCAAAACGAAAAAGAAAAAAAAGAATTGTCTTAAACAATCCAGTTACTTTATTTTATAGAATATAGAATATATATAATATGTACATTTTATTTTCTTTGTCTTCAATTGGTATTGTTATCTCTATCAGACTCTTACTGCCTTTCTTTTGCACTTAACCCTATAGATGTAAAACTGGAATCTCATTAACTTTGAATATCGTACCAACCAACTGAAGTTTGATAGAACAGTGGCATCGGTGCACATATTTTGAAAGTTTTCGACACTTTTTTGAATTCTGAACTATGATATTGGTATATCATAATGAATGTTATACTTTGCATGAAAGTGTATAATTGTGATCTGCCAAATAATTGATCAAAAATGAATGACTTTCTTTTTTGTCTCTAAAAAATTTAGCAACTTTCTGGGGTTTGGATCTATGATTTCTTCAAATATTTGAAAAATTGATGTAGTAATAATAATAAATAGAAAAAAAACTATTTCTATACCAGTTGAAATACTATGTTCTTTCCAGATATTCCTTCAGTATTTAAATGCTAAACCCAAGTATTATTTTGCATTTCAGATAAAATAGAATTCAGTAATTCTTCTCGACTGTTTAGTACCATTCTTTATTATAATATACGAGCTTAACCAAAAGAGTACGTTTATAAAACTAGAGAAAGCATGCTTATATTATAAAGCCTGCGGAAAAGCATGATTGTGTCTTGTCATAGTGAATATGTGTGTGACTTGTGTAATCTTTTCACGATTAATCGACCCTTGCTTGTTTTCGCATGAGGTCGCATGAGTGAGGTTGAAAAAAAAATCGGAAAAAGACATTTGAGCGAAGGATGTCTGCTTGGATTTCTTTTTTAAAAAAAATAGGAGATAATCAATTTTAAAAAACCACAAATTGATGGAATTTTGCATTTCTTTAGTCCTCTGTTAGCCGCGTGCCTTGTTCATTGCCGTATGATCACCATTGGAGATTCTTCACACTGAACCTTCGCACAAGCTTATCAACCAGCTTATTTAGACTTCACTATATACATTCAGCTTAATTTGCCTTCACCTATATCGTATGTCAAAAAGAACAGATATTCCTGCTCTCCATTCAGACCATTTCCCTACATTTAAGCCCTCTCTCTTAGCCTAAAATGTCTACCTCACTTCAAATTCAAATACTTAGAACAATTTATCCTTCATTATATCACTCGAACAGAAATAATTAGAATGTTTAAATAACTGTAAACCAACTTTTATTCGCGTGCGAGAAATATCCACGAGTTTCGCGACACACAATCATACAAATGATTGGTGGTCTTTCTCCAAATATATAACGTAAAACAAATACCAGTTAATTCAAGCAAATTCCTTCGCCGAAATGAAGATATATTTATTAATTGGTTTTTTTAGTTAATACAATTTATTATAATAAAAATATAATTATGAACGACACATACATTTTGAAATCTCTTTGCTTCATGATAAACAACGTAAAAACTTTGTACCAATTCTGATTTATTATCTGCACTGGTATATGTAACTCACTACCTGTGCTTGATTTCTAGATACTCTTTGCTTTGACAACTCATTCAGCTGGACAAGGAATAAGACAATATACTACAATGCTGAGGTGCTTTACGCAGATGACATTCTTATAACAACAGAAATCAACAGCCTGATAGAACAAGGCAACTGGGAGACGCTATCAAGGAAATTTGAAACCACACACTTATAATTTTACATGTGATAACGGACCATTTATAGTAATCTGCTGGGCACTTGTAAAGTGACAGTTGGAAATGATCAAAAGAACAAATTTTTCTAATCTCTTGTATGCAGAGGTTCCTTAATAAATGTACCACTTTCTGTATAGCTGCCTCAAAATATTACAATACCATACAATGTATGTTATTTGCTACTAAATATTATTTCATCATTATTTCAATAAGCTTTAGGAATTGTAATCTAACTGAACATACCAGTAAGTATTCATTCATACAGATGGATAAAAAATTTTAATGAACTTAAATGAATCAAGCATTCAATTAAAGAAAAATGCAAAACTTTTTTTTTTTACGCATGATATGTCTTTGTAATGCCAATTCATTTTCAGCCGCTTTTTTTGTAATTGATGCTTCTCAGAAAGCAATTTCTATTTAAGGAATCCCCCCTTTTTTTAAATTGATTTCTGCAAACGTACTTTTTTGAACGTGGTCATATTTCCGCAAAGCCGGGATTTCTGTTCATTCCGCGTGTAGAAAAAAATGCAATTGAATTTTTCATTTGCATTTTAAATACGCTGTGATAAATAAAATTCATGACCGTGTACATAGCGTAAATTAATCCCACGCAGAAAGAGTACGTCTACAGTATCTGGTTATTGTAAACTGGTATATAAAATGTGACTCAATAACAGATGAGTTCATACGTATTTTGCTTTTTGTTTTAAAAAACGAGTAAATTGTCCTGAATGTTAACATGTTGAGCAATGAGTATTAGTTACCCTCACACGTGATTTTTAAAAATTTGTCTTGTTGCTTGTAGAAATCTGTTGTTGCTATTTATATTGTGAACTGTGTTTTCATAAACCATAGCTGAAATTCAATTTCGTTTAGTATACATATAATTATAAGATTATATATCATTTGAATTTTTATGTGTAATATGTTTATAATAAAGTTTAAATGACACTAACATATATTTAATACGCTATTTTCAAGGCTCATTAGGCACTAAATGCATTAGTTAATCAAGTAATATATAAAATGCCCAATGCACTTGAAAAACATTGCCAAAAATATTGATTAAATCTATGAAAGATGTTTAGATATGATTATCGAAAATATTCTCTGATTTTTGAAATAAAAGAAGAGAACACGCATGTTATTACATTGATTATTTGATTAAGTTTTGTTTACATGAACCTTCATGTAGTATGACATCGTCAATAGCAGCAGAACTTCCGTATCCGGTTCCCATTGTATAACGAAAGATTATCTGAAAGTAAAATCATGTCGTTACATCCTATTTTAATGTGCGGAAAGAAAAAATACTGTAAATCACTTTTTATTCGCGAGAACTTTATTTTTGCGTGATTACACAAAACCATCTGCTCGCGAAAATTGCATTCTCGCATATATTTGTGTTATTTCTGAAAAATTTGGGTGAAGAGTATTACAATAACGAACATTTTTTTTTACTTTTAAACTTCTGAGCAGGTAAAGACAATACCTGAAAATGGTTCTGTGGATACATATCGATCATTGTTTTTCCCCAATCATCATATAGTTTTGAAGTTAAAGTAAGTGGATTGGATAGAAGCTCTGATGTCACATCTTTGACATAAACTTTAAGGGTGGAATCGTCACTACCATAGACGGAGTAGGAAAACGCCAAGCAATACCCTCTTGCAGATTGAATTTCGTAAGTTTTGGAAAATATATCGGCATAATCATCAAAAGCTCCTCGGCGTAACGATTCCGTGTAAAGAAAACTTCCTACAAAAGGAAAATTGTTAGTAAATGTAAATTTTAAAAAATGGTGAAAGTAGTTATGTATATTATTAATATTCGATAGGCTTTTACCTTTAGTGGAATTTTTATTGTCAAGTCGTGGTTTTTGTAGGTACTGCGTGTCTTTTGGTTTATCAACCCACCAGTCAAAATAATCTTCATAACTTTGACTAAATCCACACAAGTTTCCCTCAAAGTCACAGAGTGTTGGAATTCCTTTATTAAATATTAATAAAGCTGCTTCATCAGAAGGGCAAAAGTTAACAGAAGTGCGTTTAATTCGTATTCCTAATTTGTTGTTAACGTGTGCTTTTTACAGCATCCATAACATAGAATCAGTTATCATTGTTTTGTTCAAATGTCTATGAAGCTTCAGAAGAAATTCTTGAGAGATTTTCAAACAAAATACCCATGCTAAGGTATGACGAAGAAATAAGAATCTTACTTATCCTTGATGAACGGAAAGTTCTGACACAAACAGGGAACATGTCGGACCACACTGCAAAAGCAGGTTGATCTAAACAGGTCAGGGTGGCTGGATGTTTTGGATTTTTAAATTGATAGCCATTATGGCATTGGTAGGTCACTGTATCTCCCACAAAGTGAGTGCTGTATGTAACAAAACAATGGGCTGTAGGTACTGGTTCAATACAAGTCTTCTCTGCAAAAAATAAATTGTTCAAAATATGATATAAAGCAATGCACACAGACGTGCAAACACAATCTGACAAGCTGATTTAATTATTCACAAAGTGTGTTTGAAGGATTGAATGTTCAAAATTCTACGTTTATCGACATTTTGAAAAAAAGATAATTGGTCCAGACCACACGTGAAGGATAATCAGACAGACAACTAGACAAAAAACAAGAGGTAAAACCAAATGGGTGAATTTAAAAAAAAAAATGACCAGACACATATTTATCAATCTTCACTAAAAATACAGGCAATGGGAATGAATTTCTGCATCTCAGCATATGTCTTTTGACATTGTCTAAATACCTGCCAAATATCTCATTGATATCTCAAGTCACAGAAATGTTATGCCCAAAAATGATGCTGAAAATCTCAGGAGTGCAACACCTTTCTGTGATATTTTGAAAATTCAATATTTTTTATCTGCGAAATAAATAATAATGATTTATGTAGGATATAAAGACATTCCTGATAATATTCAAAGTATTGAGCTTTAAATGTAGACTGTTGCAACTTTTGTTTGACCAAGTTGTGGCCATGGCTGATGCTGAAAAAAATGTTATACCATGTCAGAAGTGCAACAGAAAAAATGTAGTGTTGCCAAAAAAACAAAAAAAAACAAAAAAACAAAAAAACAAAAACATTGATCTTAAAAATCTTTGTGACAATTAAGTAAGAAAAAAGAAGAATTTTCAAAGTGTAAAATAATAACTGATATATCATATAAATTTTTAAAATGTTATTTGAATCACAAGCAGCATTAATGAGAATCAAAATCTGTGCATGCCCAATTATGTCAGGAGTGCGACATTTGATGTTTTGCTCCCCAGTATGGAAAAACTATCAGCATATGATTCTCTGATTTTTATTTTGGAACATAAAGACACAAAGAACATTTTTACCAAATAGACCTATCAATTACAAGGTCTGTCTGTGTTTCAGATCTTTATTTCTCTGGTCTTGAGTACAACATATTTTTTTTAAATCCAAGTTATCTGATAAAAAGACTTCTATTCATACTCATGAATATTCTTTAATCAATGTTGAGCTTGAATATTTTAGTACTAAATTATTGACAGTTTTGTTATTAAATTCTCTCTCTTTTTGAATTTTATCAATCCAGTTGTGTTTTTATCTCCTCTTTGAATTTTTTTACGAAATATAAAAAAAAAACCACACACTCAAAAATTGTTTTAACATTCAAGTAATTCCACCTCAACTTTACTGAAACAACAGAACATGTACTGATGTAATTTATGCTTCAAAATTCTACTTTGAAGACTTGCATGCTCTTGGTCAGGAGTGCAACAAAAATGTTTGAATTATTGCTGATCAAATATTAATAAATATAATGAAAAAATCAATGAATAGAATGTTTCTGGTTGACCTCAATTGCTTACAGTGTTTGTCCCGTGTAGGAAAATATACTGTAAAATATACTTTTATCTTCTAAATATATTTTAGCTAGTTTTTTGACATAAATGGGGAATAATTCAAGATATTAAGCCAAGTTTAAATGCTTTTTTTAAACCATAAAGTATTGGACTATAAATATTGTACAATTTCCTTCCCACTTGATGTTGCCAACAGTTTATGAAGTTTTGTGTTCTATAGTTTTAATCTTTACTGCAGTCAGGAGTGCAGCAAAACTGTTTTATAATTATCGATGAACTTCATCTTTCTTTTGCTAAAAAATAAATTTCAGCAAGTTTTATACTATTTGTAGTTCACATCATTATGTCTATCAACAAATTGCAGATATTGTTTGGACATTTCACAGTCATTTCATAGGTTAGTTTTCATCACTAAACATATGTTTTGAAATATATATTACACAAGCAAATAATAGTGTTTTAAAGTCTTGAAAATATGAAAAACTTGCCGTAAATGATAAAAAATATCAAAACGACGAATTGATTTACAAACTTTAAATGAGTTATGTGTTAGAATTTTAAATCTATGTTTAACAAAATAAATATCAGATGTCAGAAGTGCAACAAAATAAGGTAAAATAGGATAACTTCAAAATCTAGTATTTTTTTGTAAGAAAACTTATATATCAAAATTCTTTTTTTGGTAAGATTTAAAAAGATAACTTAAATGGACAAAAAAGTAATTTTGGGGGGAATTTATTGTATCATATTTCTTTCATATTAAAACTTCAAACCAGAATTGAAAAAAAATTAATGTAAAATGACAATCAAAAAGCCAATTTCTTTCACATATACAAGAGAAGAAACTCAATCAAGGTTTTGATCTAATCATTTATGTCCCTGATATCATTCTGAAGCATAAAAAACTATAATTTCTTTTGATGTATTTTAGAAAGTCTTTTAAGATGTAGTAATATTTTCTTTTTTCAAATAAATTTTAACTTATAAAATCTCTCTTTTTTTTTTAATGCAATTGCCTATTCTATTGCCAATTCAGGAACTCTGACTAGAATTCATGTACAGTATGATGATATAAGTGAAAAATTGTTATGGTTAGTTGAATTTTTTCCAAAAAATTCAATTTGGTCGTCATTATTTTTGTAATTCACCCAAAAACAACCTTACACAGCATATCACATAAAGAAATATGTCATATGGTCTCGGGTTGAAGGTTTAATATCAGCATACTCCAATGTTATTGAAATTTTATAAATTTAACCTTACTTTGTCCGCTATTGATGGTGTAGTACATGGTGAACCCTGCTCCGGTGATGGTCTCATCTGACTGGAATGTAAGTTTGACTTTATTGGAGGATGAGATCATCGGGTACGGATTGATGTTACCACAGTGCGTTCCAATTAAACTCGAACTATTTCCTTCATCGTATACCTGCGGCATTATATGGAATATTATTTGTGTCTTTTAGCATTGATATTTTTAAAGTCTTTATTTGGAGATATAAGCAATGAATTAAGAGTGTTTTAGACATACGCACAAAAGAAAACATAAAGATTCGCGCAGACACTGTAATACCTTTCATGCAAGAATAACACGCTGTATCAAACTGATTCTAATACAATATGTACTGAAAGTTCTTTTCAAATAATTAAATACACATGTGACTTTGACTAACAATTTCTTGTTCTCATTATCAACTCTTACCCTGGCACACTTACCATAAGGGCATCGAATTGACAACCTGCACTTAGTTCGATGTCCATTCTGGTGATTAGGAGAGAGATGCTAAAGAGACTGCGTGTCTCGATTTCATAGTTACATTCCATGGAGTTGTTGTAGTTGTTAAGATTAATGATTCCACCCTCTCCAGACTCGCTTGTGTAAAACTTCTTCCCACACATTGGATTTTCTAAAGAAAGTTTCACATAACAATCTGATGAATATAGAAGTTAGATGTAATTTTGATCACAAGGACACTTTGAAGGTTTTTCACATTTACCCCCCCCCCCTCCGGATAATAAAATTATCCGATTTTCCAACAACTTTCCTGATATCACTCGAATGAAAAATAATTTTCAAAGCCCAATACACAGCTAAATGAGTGTACGTACCAACACAATCCTGTTTATTACATTCTCTCTCTTCGTTGTCACTTCCCTGACACTGTGCACCATCACCCACAGGCGGAGGACTATTACAGAGTCTGTATCGATACTGCTTCCCTCCCCCACAGCTATGATCACACTGCTGCCAACCTCCCCAAGGACCCCATCCCCCATTCATATCTGGAAGAAGAATAACAACGAACAAGGTTAATTCGTGTACATGTATAAGCAATGGTGTAAAAGGAGAAGAAAACGAACAGTGACCAATCTCATAAATCAAGTAAACAAAATGAATCGTGAACAGGGCAAAAGCACGGACCCCTGGAAACACAAAAGATGGGATCGGGTGTCTAGGAGGAGTAAGCATCCCCTTTGGGCCGGTCACACCCTCCGTGGGCCTTATGTATTGATGAGGTAGACGGGGTATTCCATCGTAAAATTTAGTATAAAACAATGACAAATGGTATGAAATATGTCAGACAAAATACAAGCCAACGATAGGATGTATTTACAAACAATGTCTTTATAACGACCGTAGAATGTGCGAGAAGCTGACTTTAAACAGGGTTGTTGAAATCCATGTCAGTCTGTGCCTCGGGAAAAATTGATCATACTCAGGTCATGCTCTTGTGTATTGAATCAGTTGGGAGACATAAACACCATATAAAATTGAAATATTTATTTAGAATTTTCTTTTTAAAAAGTAAATACTTTTTTGAATATTATAAAATGGAAATTTTACTACATTCTGGTTGATGTTAGATTGTTTTATGTTTAAAAGCAATGGTTGTCAAATATTTAAGTAGAGCTGTCCTAATGAGATTACGTTATGTACTCTCCGGGTACATTCAAAATGTTGATCATCTGATATATTAGTAAATGTATTTCAATTACCAAATGAGAAACTTTCGATTTTACTGCATATTTCCTGTGAAAAAAAATACTTATTAAATCTACTTATTTTTAGAATCACTAAATCATAAAATGTAGGCTAGATTTAGCATCCCGAAGCACGTATCATATTAGTACTAGACATCCATACATGCATTTTATTTGAAAGTTTGGCCAGAACATCTCTAGCAATAAGTTGGCAACAGAGGTTGATGCTTTACTTAACCTCTCGTCTACAGACTAACAGACAAACAGAAGGACATGGTGTTTTTGACGAACAACCTCAACATGTTTGTGATAAATGGTCTAGTATTTGCAGTTGATTACAAAAACGTACGTTTTTCGTACGTATAGACACTGATGGCGTGCGTTCCTCCCATAGATGAGATTCCACAGTCGTTGGACAGACCTAACAAGGAGAAAGTTCTAAAGGCATTGTCGTCTGTTAGACATTCGGTGTTGTTAAACATGGCAAACACAGAGAAACCATTGGACGCTGCAATATCGGCACATTTCCTCACGATCTCTAGTTGGTCGAAAATTAAACCGCGGAAGTTTCCAGCTGATGATATGGTCATATTGCTTACATCTATTTTCCAACATCCAACATAGTAAGCGCCTATCAAAATTATAAAAAAAAAATAAATAAATAAATAAATAAATAAATAAAAAACTATTTTTGAGGTACTATTTATTTTTTGTGTTAATATCTTTGTCATAATTATAAACCAAAGAATGCTTCAAAACACGAAAAGCAGAAGCATTGCATTTTATTAGTCTGCTATTTAATTTCCTTGTAATTAACATACTGAACATTTTGTACTAGTTCAAATTATTCATTATTGAAGAATAAAAATTGGTTTAACACAACTTCTAACAACAATATCTGAAAATTTAATTAAAATATATCTTTTTCAAAAGTATCCATGCTGAAACACATACGTCTGCAAGTGTTTTGACAATTCTGGACCTCCCTCGAGCTGCCAGGACAATCCCGGAGATCGGAACATTCTGGTCTGCAAAATCTCTGGCGTTGTTGCTGACAATTTAAGTCACATCTTGACCATTTCGACCAGGGTAGCCATCCATTACTCTGACAAGGAGATGACTGAAGATTCATCAGACCACTTATAGAGATTGAGGGACTATGGACCGGTGTAGGATGCAATGTTGGATTCGTGGGTGCAATGTCACCTAAAGGGAAAAATAAATATTATGAAAACGCTAACAATTGCTTTGATTAATCATTGTAAAAAGTGTTATGATTAAGGCAAAGTTAGCTTTTACTGCGACCTACCACATCTGTATAACGTGTTAACTTTATCGATGTCGAGCTGACTGAAGCCGTGCCTCTGACCTATTTCCGCTTTAGTGTTCCGGATGGGTAATAATGTAGGATTGCCGTTTCTGCTAAACGCTGTCTTGGAGTAGTGCATAACACTGCCGTAATCATACGTAATACCTAAGGTATCCACTTCCATTGAACTTAATTTATCAAAGTTCTTTACTTTGTCTACAATTGTGAAAAAAATGTTCTCTTGCTGAAATTTAGAACATTGTATTTTTATTTGTATTTGTATTTGAACTTGTATTTACAGCCAACAATTTGGAGATTATTTTGTATACAAAGCTGCATGATATTTTATTCTGCTGATATACTGGACATCGTACCACGGATTATATTCGATTTAATCACCCGAACCCAAGAGTCTCTGTCGGGGCGACTTTGTTCGTGAAAGAAACCTACAGCATGCATTAACTCATGGATGGCTGTGCCCTTCTTCAGACAATCTGAAGCCAATGAGACATTCTGTGAACCACCTTGTCTTCCAATGTTAGAGAAACACCTAAACCAGGGAAAGATATAATACTATAATTTAAAGTTATGTCTTCTATATACTTATAATTGTGTATTTTTCAATTATATTTAAATTGAAATTTACTTGAAAAAGTCCTTTTACTAGAGTAAAAGCAGCTTAACCATTTCCTTGCAGATATCCCAAACTTTGCACTGTGCATTATAGCATTCCAAATTTTTGCTCCATATAACGATAGATTATCCCAGATTTTATATGCATTTAATTTTGGAAAAGAAATATGTACCATATAAGACAATTATTCAGTTTCACGTACCCATTTAGTTGTTTAAATACAATATAGTCTTTCTGAGTTGTTCGCGGTATGAATCTGATGCATGTATTGTTATGGAAATCTTCTATTGCCTTTAAGACATCTTGTCTGTCTTCTAGCTCTGCAAGTTTGAATTTTTCCCTTAATATATACACATATTTTAAATAGCAATGAACGGAACTGAAACTGAATTTTCATGGCTTACTTGTTAAGCTATGAAAACAACAAGTAAATCATGAAAATGTACATATATATTTATTTCAATGATTCAGAATTGAAAGAAATACCTGTTGTCAAGGAGCATAGAATACATACAATGTTTACATGAAATATATGGAGATAACGAACTGTAATATTGAAGCTCAAAAGTCCATTAAACAATACAAAATAGGAGCAGAGCAAACACGGACCTCCAAAACATCACAGGTGGGATCAGGTGCCATGGAGGAGTAAGAATCCCCTGCCGACCGGTCACACCCGCCGTGTGCTCCTTGTCATGATCGGGAAATAACGGTAAAATCCGTCAACAATTTAGTTTGTAAATAATGGCCTAACAATTAGGATGAAAAACGTCAGTCAGCATTTGACTCAATGATAAATTGTATTTGCTGACAAGGTCATTGTATCGACCATACATGTAGAACTTACGTAATGATGACTTTAAACGAGACTGCTGATATTCTTGTTTCATCAATTGTTTGTCAATAATTTACCTCGTTTTACAAATTGTACATACGTAAAGCATGCTCTTGCGTATCGAATCAACTGAGAGATATAAACCCCATATGCAGGTGATGAAGGTATATTGCCGCATAAGTAAGGGAAGTTGACGATTGAAAAGTTAAAGTCATCACGTTTATCATAAAGCTTGGTTGTTAGATTACCATTAACGTCTTTTTCAAGTAAAATATCCAAATATGAAACAGATGTGTCAGACTTTGTGGTATTTTTTATCTCAAGTTCACTGGGATATATAGTATCGACATAAGAATGGAAATAACCATTGTTAATCGTCGATATATCTAAATGTCGACTTGAAGGCCACAGCAACTGTTTTCTTCTTTTCACGTATAAGATTTTGGACAAATTCTGCTTCATATGAATACAAAAAAAGGTCTGCTAATAACGGGGCGCAATTGGTACCCATGGGAATTCCAATAGATTGTTGGAAGACCTGGTCTCCAAAAACCACATAGATATTGTCAATCAGAAACTCAAGCATCTTTTTAATGTCAACTTCAGAGTACTTGTGTGTACAATCAGAATGTTTTTTAACAAAATAGTTTTGCAAATGGCCAATGACAATAAAAACAAATGATATAAAATAAAATGATATAAAAACAAAATTAATAATGACAACAATTCCACATATCATAATTTGTCATCAAATTGGCATCAAAATAAATGCTAGTTCAGATACAAGCAATATATATACTCTATTCAATGATTATAAGAAGTATTTTACTTGATGAATAAGGTATCAAAATTTCAAGATTAATTGTCAAAGCTTATGTAAAAATTAATGAAGTTGGAGCATATCATTTATTTTTACAGAAACAATTGGTTTACATTAGTTTTTGAGAGTAAAATTAAATTAACATGTCACATCTTACAATGTATCACTTTCCAAAATCTAAAATAAAGTTTTTATTTCAAGATTCCTAAGTTTCATTTTCCCTATATTCTTCACTAAAAATAAATAGTTACACATCGTCGTAGTTAAAGGCACTACGACGAATACATTTAATTACAGTAATTTAAACTAAAAAAAAAAGAATCGTAAAATATATAAATAAAGAATTTTAGACGATGTATCTATCATTGTGACTTACTGAAAATAGGATCAAATTCATAGGGAACTATTCTTGTGTTCCATAAAGCGCTGCTGTTTCTTATTGCTGCCCTATTCTGTGGAAATAAAAAGCAACCTGAAATTGCCAATCTTGTTTTTTTTAATTAAATATAGCAGTCTATAAACGTAATGCAATGGCAAAGTTTTGTTATAGACCATACGCTCTCTTTTTCAATTTTGTAGATATTACTAGTATTCCTTAAAATACAAAATTCGTGTCTGATATTCATAATTTCTACCGTCTGTCTGTCTGTCTTTCTGTCATTTTTGGGTGACACGATAACACATGGAGCTTTCATCCACATCCAACTTTTTTAATAAGTATGATGTACATGTATGATACATGAAGACGATTTCACATTGATTAGATGCAGATTAAGTATTGTTTTATGTCATTGCTATAATAATGCACATACATTATACTAGTACATACTAACATAAAATTTAGCGGCCTATATCAATTATTTCCCAAGCTTTTGGTATAAATTTACTTACAGAATGATGATGGTGTTTATGGTATCCTTTAATATCACCCTCAAATAGATTTAAACCAGCTCCTGAAAATATTAACAGTATAAGTACAAATTGGTTTGTTTCTTGGCATTACATATCTTTAAAAAAATCACCAATGTATCAAATTGTTATTTGATATAATCAGGGAGAAAAAAAAACCCTTACCCGCATTTACATGATAGATGTAATCGTAAATAGTAGAATCTGAGCGACCATCTAGCCATTGAGATATAGCATGGAGTTTCTGAGCTGAAATTCAAAAGGGATAATAATACCAAAATTTCCAAAAATATAAGTGCAGGAATGCAAAACCAATTTTCGGATTACACAGAAATTTATTGCTAAACCTTGACAAATACTGTGAAATTATGAGGATAACATGCAAAACAATAAAACAAAAATCATTACACTTTTCATTGAAATTCTGATGATGATTGTCAAACACAAGATGCGCGAGAAATATATATAGCCCTTTTTTCACCAGAAAGGTTTGTAAACCTTTTTTAAAAAAAATCTTTTATACTAATACTAAATATTTAATAAAATCGTCTTTTTGCACCAAAAAGTATTTTAAATATTAAATACATGAAAAACATGTTAAATAGATGAAAAACATGACAATGATATATGTTACTGAATTTAAAGCCATGATTTGTTTTAAATACAATTCTATGCATTTAGAAAACAAGAGACGAGAAGTTCTTCCACATGTAAGCTGGGAAATTCTTTTCTCAACTATTTATTTTTTAGATCCATTTTGAAGGTTTATAATATTAAAATTTTATTTCTAATTTTAATTTTATCTTTTCTTTTCATGATATATACACACTAGGTCATTTACTGTCTAATACAACATCAAAGAATGTAGGCATACTCATACCCTAAATTTAAAGTCTGTAGCTGATTACATAATAAATGTTAAGATCGCAATTAAATGCTAAATATTTCAACTGATAAGTTCAAATTCTGTTAAATCTGTACAACTTTCTATTTACGTTAACTACTGACGTCATACGCTGTCTTTATATCTCACATATTTTTATTTCCAGGACTGGGTCTATAATGGACTTTGAGCCAATTGCTTCCATTGCCCTTCATTAAGATAAATTATCAGTAATTAATTGGAAGGAATTTCTAAATGATTTTGTCACATGGCGATTAGGTAAATAGGATTGTTAGATTCCGTAATCAACACCCCCTGTCCTTTCGTTTATCTGACTTTTAATTTTACTTTATGCAAAAATCAGCCTTTTCCTCCAGTACATATGTCCTCTACAAATTTGAATTGAAAAATTCTAAATTTTGTAGAGGACACATAAGTCTTTAAATTTATTTTTCATAAAATACAAGTGAAAATGTTAGGAATAATATTCTAACATAACATATATTTTTTCTTCTTCTTGATGTTTTGAAAAATATCGAAAAGTGAAATAATTTTCTTCAACAACTTTATGATATAATCAATGTTTAATGTTTGAATTGTCTTGCACGTCCAGTGTAATAATTCAAAAATGAATACCTTTTATTTTATCGAATACAATCTGTCAGAAAAGAGAAATTCATTCTTGATCCAGAGTTTGGGCATTTTTACGAAAAGAAAATTGTAAATATTTTATCAAACTGCTTTTAATGCAGGGGACATATTTCCTACAAAAAATTGGAATAAAATACAAGACATAAAAGAAAATTTGTTTATTTACTTACAATAGTTTAGAGAAAATATTGCGAAAGAGAAACATTTACTAAGAGAAGAAAAATAGAAGATAAAAAAGGGTAGCAAAATTATAAACCAAGAGACAAAATTATATATATATTATCTTATGAATTTACAGAGTTTCATTACAAATTGATATCTGAAAAGATACATTTATTTTAATTTGATATGTGATATGTTAGTAATTTTGCTCTTTGTATTTAACACATACCGAATGATATCTTCCCTAAAGTTTTCGAAGACCTGCTATTTTTGTTCACATTAATATGATAGTTAAATTGATTCATTACTTCTATAATTTTATTATAAATCCATACCTATGTGATATCTATGATGATGAGTTTGATGAATCTGAAATTTAAAAGAATTTCAATTTCAATTTCAAAGGAAAGAATATTTACACAATTTTAAAGATAAAGCAGCATTCAAAGTAATAAATGGAAACATTTATTTTGTTTATAAATAATCTGAAATATTATAAGAACTTACCCTTGTTGAGATTCCTCGAATAAGAATAAATAGCATAAAGTATAAAAACATCATCGCACTTGTTGAGTAAAACATTTATAACATAAAAGGGAGAGTAATTGATGTCATTGCTGATGAAGTGTCATGTTGTGAAAAATTCGATACAAGTAGGGATGAATGTTTATATGTACACTGTGACGGGGTTCCTTGTGCGCCTTCTGTTTATAGAAAGTAATCAAGAATAGTTTGGGGAGGGGTTTTATCTTTGAACCTCACAGCTAAGTCAATCTAGAACTATTAGAATTATCTCTTCCGCTGCCAAAAAGACAAACAATATCAGGAACTATGAATAGATATAGATACTGGCAGTAGATAAACATGATTTTAAAAACAAGCACTGTGGATTTGGTTTTCTTGACCATTTTAAATAATCAGGTTTATTCTATTTGTATCGTAAAAATGGATCTGTCATTTTGAAAAACAAATTCAGTTTTGACTATATAATTGTTTACCAACGTGTTTACCAAAGTTTCAGTTTAATGGATTTTACCTATCCGTATATTTTCATTTATAGATATATTTCAAATAAAGATATTAGTAATATGTTATATCAGTCCTTCAAGTCCTTCAATGCATTGAAATTTTCTCTTTGCAGTAGGTGTTACCTCTACTCATTAAAAAAAAATCATGATAATAATAAAAAGTATTTCAAAGATTTGATTCGTAATACCTCGTGTAGTTAGCTTAAATTCCTCTGAAATTTATCAAGTCTTCGTCTTTAATTAAATCAAAGTATAATCCAGAGAAATAATTGATAATACAAGTACTTGTAAGGATTTTTATGAACTTTTGGAATCCAGTAGGTAGAGTAAATCAATTTACTTCCGTTAACTGGAACGCTGAAATAATGAACTTTAGAAACAAAGACTATATTGTACAATATTTGTATATTAGTAAACAAATTATATCGACAAGAAATAATGTGCTAATTATCATTGATGATCTTTAAACCTTAACAAATTTGCAGCAGTAAATCATTCTCCTTAATCCATTTATCAAGCCTAGTAGAGAATCTATGCTATAATTTTTTCACCTTTATTGTTTACCAAAATTTTTTTTATACATGAACATGTACTTCGATAGAGAAAAATAATTGGCACAAGAATATACTTTTTTATCTTAGCCAAAGTTATAGTAATGGTGATGATTAAAACAAATTTTAAAATTTCGATCTAACGGTAGGAAGTGAAGTCAATTATTTGAAATACAATTTGGTAATCCCGAGTTCTCTGACCAAATGAAAAAAAAAATGTGCAAAAAAAAAAATGTTTGCACAACACCCTACACCCTTTACAAAAATAAATTCAGTAATAAATGGAATTTTAACAGATTTCATGTGAACAAAAGCGTGGTCGTTCAGCAGGTCTCACCTAAATATTATCACGTGCGTGGTCATTAGAGTCATTTGATAAGTATATAAATATGCAATAAAATATGGAGATAACGAACTGTAATATTCAAGCTCAAAGTCCATTAAAACAATACAAATTGGGAGCAGAGCAAACATGGACCTCTGAAAACAGAGGTGGGATCAGGTGCCATGGAGGAGTGAGAATCCTCGCAGTCAAACCCGCCGTGTGCTCCTTGTCATGATCGGTAAATAACGAAAAATCCGTCGACAATTGAGTGTGTAAATAATGGTCTAACAATTAGTATGAAAAACGTCAGTCAGCATATGACTTAATGATAGATTGTATTTGTTGACAAGACCATTGTATCGACCATAGCACTTACGAAATGATGACTTTAAATGAAACTGTTGATATTCTTGTTTCATCAACTTGTTTGTTAATAACTTACCTCGTTTTAGAAATTGTTCATACATAGAGCATGCAGTTGCGTATTGAATCAACTGAGAGATATACACCCCATATGCAGATGATAAGGGTATTGCTGCATAAGTAAGGGAATTTGACGATCGAAAAGTTAAAGACATCACGTTTATCATTGTTGTTAGATTACCATTAACGTCTTTTTCAAGTAAAATATCCAGATATGAAATAGATGTGTCAGACTCTGTGGTATTTTTTATTTCAAGCTCACTGGGATATATCGTGTCAACATATGAAAAGAAATAACTATTGTTAATTGATAATACGTCGTCGATATATGTAAATTTCGAGTTGAAGGCCATAGCAAGAGATTTCTTTTTCTCATGTAATAGATTTTGAATAAATCCTGCTTCATATGAATACAAAAATAGGTCTGCTAACAACGGGGCGCAATTGGTACCAATGGGAATCCCAACAGATTGTTGGAAGACCTGGTCTCCAAAAACCACATAGATATTGTCAATATATATTTTTAACCAACATGCACGAGTTATGAAATGTTATTGAGAGAGTCGTTTTCAGCATACACTTACTTTATTTTTAACTTCAGTCACAATGAATATTCAACATTTCACGGAGAATCTCCCTTGAATGTAAATGAAATAAATCTAATTTCGATATGCTTTACAAGATATGTAGAAGTGTTTGTGTATCTTTTCTTATGTTGACTTAACACAAAGTGCTGCTTATAACATACATACAAATATAATAAGCCAAGAAATGATAAGTTTATTTCTAATTTTAATCAATATTTATTTAAGAAAAATACTTTTCAGGTATTTTTTTCATGTATTTTAAATATTTCTATGGTGATTCTGAAATTCAAAATATAAAACCTCCTATCGTGTGCATAATATTATTATAAATAAATACACTGTACATGTATTGCAGTACTTTTTTGAAATGTTAATTGTATATATGAAAACTAACTTAATTATTAATATACATTCAATTAATGTGTGGGAAATTATTACAGTAAATTAATATTGCTGTTAATTTTTTAAGGATCCTTTAGAAAACATGCATTTTCCCAAATCGTGTCCATGTCAAGTGTATTTTTCATGTAAATTAGGTAATGATACGTTGATTCTGAAAATTCAAAAATACAAAATCTCATATGTTATGCATTTTTTCCACTTTTGTGATTAATGTTTTTTTCATATATATTGTAACTACGATACCAGTAATATTTACAAATGTTACTTGGATATAAAAATTATCTTAATATTACAAATATACAATTATTACTTTGTTGGAAAAAACATTATACTGCAGCTGTTTTTATTTTTGCTCCCATGCAATATTCAGAATAGCACTGCGATTTTTTTTAAAAATAATATTACAAGATCAATTATTTTCCACAAAAAGATGACATGCTTCGGCGTGCATAGTTCTGTGTAGTAACTTTTAACACGCAGCGCCTGTGATTGTTAAGGAAACCGCCGGAAAAGGTCCACCCAATGGTCATATGATTCATCCTGTTTGGCGCCCTAATATAGTCATAACGGGAGACCAATCCAATGATCGCCTATCAAGACGGTCACGTTGTTTGGGGAAGGCAATGATAAGGTTTAAATAGAACAACCCTTCGATAAACTAATGATGAGAAATAACACAATATTATCGCCCTTTCAAATGGGCAGAAAAACGAGTTATATCTCCGCCGGAATTCACATCAAAATTCTTGAACTGGTTTTGTTCAACATTTTGGTGGTAGTGTATACACCCTGGATTTTATTATGAATAGTTTTTTTTAAAAGCAGACACATAGCCCACGCCTTATTTGATTATAATTCATTGTGCATTAATCCTTTCTTTTTTATCTAACTAAACACGATTTTAATTTTTTTTTTAATTTAGGGCTCGTTGTATTCTGTTAAGGAAATAGCAAAGTCATGCTGGAAGCAATATGATCCTAGGGAATGCCTCAACTGCCTCATGTTGGATAAATTTCATGTTGTGATGATACTTCATTATATGCTGATTATTGGTCTTAATATACTGCAGATACACCCTCATTTTTATCTTATGATCTTCATTATTTCACGACACTTCGACATTCATTATTTCATGATGATACTTTGACATTCATTCATTTTGGCAAATGCGGTCTGTCATGCTGACTGGCTTTTTCCATACTAATTGTTAGGCCATTTAAACACTGACTTGTCTAAGAATTTTTCCGTTTGCCAGAGCGTGACGGTGGGCACACGGTGGGTGTGACCGGTCGACAGGGGATGCTTACTCCTCCATGGCATATCATCCCACCTCTGATGTTTTTTAGAGGTCCGTGTTTGCTCTGCTTGTTTGAATGGACTAGTGAGCTTGAATACTGTTCGTTATATCCATATTTCATTCCTTTGACATTATACGCTAATTCTTCTCCATGTCATGATGATACTTTGACATTATATATATTGATACTTATATTTGTATGCTGATACTTTGACATTATTACCGTTGACTCTATAATATGGTGATTTGTCATTTTCTGAGTGACTCAGGTGACCTTTTCAAACTGTTTTTGTCGTTCGTAGATCGTACACTTTTGAACATTTTCAGCTTCTTTTCTGGATCCGTTGAACCATTTTCCAGTCAATTTTGCCTATAGCATATGGGTAAAGTGGAACAAAAATTGTGATTTTCATGGCCCCTTTGCCCTGGGGCATAAGGGGTAAGGCCAAAACTATCAAAATCAGTGTAATCTACAAAATTCGTCTTCTCTATACCTGGACTTCAAGCAGTCCAACTGTTGGCATGATTGTAATGAGCATTGAGCCTCTACCAAAACTGTGAAATTCATTACCCCAGGATGAGGGGGTCTGATGTGGGACTCTATTGGTCATAAAGTGAAAATGCATATTTTTTTTTAAAAAATCTTCTCTCCCATATATATTTTGCAGACAAACTAAATGGATTGTCATGAAGAGCAAGGGTATCTCTACCTAAATTGTGAAATTTATGGCCCCTGGGTCAGGGGTTCTGATCTTATCTGCTATTAGGAACTAAGCAAACAAAACAAGTGCATGTCTATGGAGAGTAAAGGAGCTTCTATACCTAAATTATGAAAATATTGACTCGTTAGTCAGGGGTTCTGGTGTTAGAGTGGGGCTCTGAAAACGTTGATCTATTGATGCTGTCTGATGCTAGGGCAGGGTTCTATTGATCATGTAGGGAAATTTTACTCTACTTTGAGAGAACGTAATACCCTTTAATTATTCACCTATGTTAATTAAGCACCGTAAAAAATGTAACTGATAGATATATTAAATAAAAGAACAAAACAAAAATATTTAAAGTAAAGTATATTGCAAAGAGTATTTTTTAATAAAGTATTTAATGGTCAGGTAGACTTCTAAATAAGAAATAAATAAATATAAGACAGATCATGCCATGAAAATTACTAAAAGAACAGGAATGGATGAAATTCAAAGATATTGAAGTAATTTACTTGACTGTATTTTTTTTCCCCCTTGGCTTCGGCATTTGCATTGCATGGAAAGACAGTCTGACTCAGAAATTGTGCATCATTTTTATTTTTTCTTATTTATTTATTTTATTTTGCTTATATCTAGTAAAATTCATTTGCAAATGTTTATAATTACAAAAAGATGACGTATGACTAGGGGCGAGAGGCGTGATCACATACGATGAAAATAGGGGTGGCTAAAATCCAATCAATTTAAGTAGATGGGATCAAATCACAGCTCATGGTTGTGTTCAAATTAAATTCGATAGAAATTTTCTGATGAGAAATCTTGCGTAATTTGATTAATTGATAACACTAAAATGTGTTTGTGTTTGCCTGAGGGGGTGTAACTACACCCACATGTATGATGGCTAATTATAAGGTCAAATTTAAGTCTTATAAACACTAAAATTCAGGAACTTTCGGAGGCTTTGCCCCTGGACCTCCAAAAGTATCTTATTCTGGACCTACTGGGGGCAATAAGCAGTTCAGGCGGCCCATACCCCCTGCCCATTAAAAAAGTCCACCCTCAATTCGAAATCCCTTAACCCCCCACCCCCCCCCCCCCTTGCATGAACATCATTACACATGTATCAGAGACATGTATAGTATTAGTCATTCCCAACTTTGTATAGATTCAAGGTCTAACTGTTGATATTATATTTGCGCCAATTTTTTTTTCTTGCGTATAGAGAACTCATAATCCGGAGAGCAAGTCGCTACCATGCTGACTTTTAAAATACATCAACGTGATTGAAACGTTTTTAATTCAAAGCGCACCAGTGACGTCGACGGCCCAAAAAACCAAAACATATCACCTGGTCTTCTACTGACTGACTTACAGTTACTGAGTTCTAGGTCTACGTAGGCCGTACGATAGGGTTCTATGACAGAGGAATCTATTCTGATCAGATATTAAAAGTATGTACGAATGGCCTTAGAAAAGAAAGACCCACTTAAGGTTATTCCAGCAAGTTCAATCACTGTTATACAGAAGAAGAAACCACAGAAAATATTGGACGAAGACACATACACAAAGGTATTTTTATTTGTAACTTTTTTCTTGATGTTTTCTTGGTTAAACGTAAATATACTTATCGTACACATGTACTAAGAATAGTGAAGTAGAAATCCGGGAAAAATATTTTGTTAGTACCAGATGGCTTGTATACTGGTGTCTCATAATATCGCGGTTTTTATTTCTATTACGTAAAAAAGTTATTCCAAATTCTTACATTAACTCTTCATCAAAGGTAACGGGATGTTTCACACCTATGAATGGTTCGCCCCACGATGTTTCGCGCCCGTTCTGTTTCGCACTTAGATGGTTCGCCCCGCGATGTTTCACTCCAAGTACATAAATGTGCTACTGAGTTTAGTTTTTAAATATATGTAAATATAGATATTTTTGGAACATTTTTTTTTAAATTTAAGAAGATTTTATTTGAAGCAGAGACGTAAATTATTTATGTCTGTGTTTGAAGTATACATACATAGCAAAATTATGAATTATCATAACCGTGCTAATTACGTATAAGTAGATAATTATAATACCGCCATCTAATTAAGTAATTATTGCTGGCTTGGACAACCCACACATCAACTTAAACATGTTAAATTCTCACCTTTTGATCTCCAACTTATTACAATGAAATCCTCATTGAAACACTGTTTAATTGTTGAACAGACACGCTGAGCAAACGGGCACCGTACGATCCGTTAACTATAGCAGACGTTATTAAGTCATGAATTTGAGTACACAAAATATTTATATCATATTTGATAAATAATTTAAAACGGATGAAAATGTGATGAAATATTTAAAATAAAACGTGAGATGTTTCGCGCCCAAATCGGCGCGAATCATCCTGGCGCGAACCATCTCAGTGCGAAATGGCCTAACTTTTTAGTGACTAATTATTTTCTCAGCTTTCTTCGTTTACTTTGTAATCTATTTTTAAAACAGGAAGACTTATATACCTCCTAAAGTGGAGGATATTGGGTCCATTCACCCTATCTATCTGTTCGCATGAGTCCATTTGTGCAGGGTCCTTCGCCATAATTCTTATTCCCCCTATACCCTGTTTGACATATATCTCGATCGCCCTATCGTAAATAATTTATGTCAACATTATCATTGAATTTTAAGACTTTTCTTTTTTAATTAAAAGATCTAATAAGCATACTTCATTTCCCTCAGTATTGACATTTTTTCTGATTTTAATGTTTATCAAAGACTTAATCATAAACATTTAATTGCTGTTAATTTAGTACTTACCGTAAATTAGGGAACACTTTCTTCATTTGTTTTTTTTTTAAGGTTCGTATAACATGTACGTATGTTTAGAAAATAATTAATGAAATTGAGATTGAAATTAATTATGTATATAGGTTATTTTAATTGGGGATAAGCCTCTGAATAAAAGGTTTATATTTTCTTTTTGACGAATCTTTTATTCTTAGTTTAATATAATGTTAGTTGTATAACATTGCTTATAAATCAACAAGTATCACATCGATTATTTAACATATTTTTAAAAATTTCTTCATCATGTTTATCTATACTGAATGTTCATGTAAAATAAATTATACTTTATACAAACATTCATAAAATCCAATAAAATCAAAGAAATTACGAAAAATTAACTGACTAAACATATTATGGGCGAATGGACTTTGGGCAAACGAGTTTTAGAGCGAACGTACTCTGGGCGAACGAGAGTGATGGCGAACGGCGTCGAGGGCGAATGCATTTTAGGATGAACGAACATACAACCACTGTCTCATTGTATTGCGGTATTGAAAAACATGGAGGCTTGGCACTGTCACAAAGTACAATTTTTATTTTTTATTTTATGATGTAAATCTACATATTGAAAATCTTAACAATAATACAAACTTAAGGCTTTCAAAATATGAACTTTATTATGGATTTTACTTGGTTATATATTCATTGGTCTAAATAAAATAAAAACGGGAATGTAAAATTTCGTTTTATTTGAATAAATATTTTTCCAACAGGTGTTCTATACTTTTTAACCATCACAAAAGTCAACATTCAGACGACAGACAGATAGTCCATCAACAAAAAGGATATGAATTAATTGTATCCTAATTTTTGGAAAATACCACGATACAATGGAACCCGCGATATAATGAGAATTAAGGATAACTATAGACGTAATCATGTTCACTGTTACGGTTTTTGTTTTAACTTTTTAGTCCTACAAGATCTTTGATTGTAATTTTACCTTTGTCTAGAATTTTTCTGTTTGATTGTAACATGTTAGACTGTCAGACGGTGCGACTGCTAAAGTGACACATCCTTGTTAGATATACATCATTAAAAGATAAATAGTGTTTTAACATTTGTCACATCCGGGTTCCTAGATCTACCTAAAAGTACCCAGGAGTATCAAGTAGTACAAAAGACCCAAAAGATATCCAAGAGAATCCCAAAGGAACTCAAATAATCAGGAATAAAACCTCCAGTTATATAATGAAATAGAACATTAAAGTGATTAATTATGGTAGATAATTAAAAATTTTGCATTCATACATAGTCAATACTATTGAAATTTGCATCGCTTATCTTTCTTTAGTATATTGTACATGATTTTTTTAATTATTGAACAAGTCAAATTAATAGTCTTCATGATCATGAAAACTCCTCAAACATGCTGGCTTATAGGACCAGTGAATGTCAGAATTTACTGGCTCACAGTGAAATTTACTGGCCCACAAAATTTTTGTAGTACATATGTAATCACGAAATGATTTCATATAATCATTAATGGGTACATGTATTGTTATCATTCTATTCTTCTAAAAATAAACAAAGTATACTGACCTGACACTTAAATTACTTTGGGTGCTTTTCATTTATCTATTTATTTCGATTCTGATGGCAAATTTTTGCAAATAACTCGAAGACTTCTTGATTTTTGTTTTTCACTGACTTGACCTCAAATTCATTGGCCTCAGTCTTTGGACCACTGAGTTTTTGTGTAGACTGATTTATAATTTAGCATATGCTTATTTGGTTCAATCCAATAGTCATCGATTTAAGTTCCTTATTGCTCTTTTTAGGTCCTTATGGATTGTATATGGTCCTTTAAAATAATTCAACATAGGGAGGGGGGATTTAAGGTTCACTTAGCAGTTTCACACGATGTGCATGATGCTGAGCATATTATTTTATTTTTTGTAAAGGTATAACGGTATATTAACCAAAAAACTACAACCTTGAGCAGTCAAGTAATGACTTGTATTTTTCCCTGCTTAAAATGTCAGGGCAAGTTTTGACAGTTCATCTTCGTCTGTATTATGAATGATTTACTTCGGATTTACAGGATGTTGAACACATTATAGAAGAAGACTTTTTTCCTGATCTTCCTGACTTAAAATCCAAAGCAGAATACTTTGAAGCTCTAGAAAAAAATGACCTTGTAAAACTACGAAAGTTTCAGCTTAAGTTTACTGGTGGAAGGCCTGCCACAAACAGGACAGACTGTAAGTTAAGAACAAATTTTCATTAATTGTTTTTGTACTGAAAATCAAAAAAAAAAAATGTACACATCCTTTTCTTGTTATTTAAAGTAAGGAAAATTTAAAATATTTATGAATTAATGAAATTTATCAATCAGTTTAGAAATAGAATGTGATACCTCATGTATCCCAAAATTGTAAGTAAATGCATGTTACCTTGATTTGTAATTTTTGACAGGTAATTCACCTGCAACATTTGAAACACCAGATATTAGACAAAATGATGGACCAACATCAGAAAAAATAGATGAAGAGAAAAATAAAGAGGAGAAAGATGAAACAAGCAACAAAAGTTAGTAGGGATTTTTTTTTTCAGCAATATTTTTTTTTCTTTTTCTTTCAATTAAGTTTGAAAAAAAATAAGATTTTATAGATGTAAAATTTGGATGATGTTGTAAATGTATTACCAAGAGTATGTAGATGTGTTTGTCTGCATCTTTTTTCTGTGTGTATGTTAAATGCAAAATGACTGTATGAATCATTGAAATAAAATAGAACACACATGAAATTTAAAAATGACCAGAAAAGTAGTCATAGGCTTAAATATGATCAATTATGCCTCTAAATGAATAATTATATGAATTTTGAAAAATATATATAAATTCTAAAATGAACAATATTATGAAGGGACTTGTTTTAAGTTTCTTTAATTACAAATTGTCTGAATAATTTGAATTAAAAAGAAAGTTGTTTTTTTTTAACAGAACAACCAAAATTATCACTTGATGCATACATGTCAAAAAACACAAGTGAAGACAATGCATCATTTGCTGAGATTTTAGAGGAGACACAAAAACAACACAGAGAAAAACATGCTTGGCTGTTTGAGAATGAAAGTAGTAGAAAACAAGTAAGATACATTTGTCTTCATATTTGGTTACTGTAAAATCAACTATTTTCATGGGGGTGAAATTTTTGTGGTTTGAGGAAAAATAGTTGGTTCAAGGAGGTTTGATTTCATGCAAAAAGAAGAAACATTATAAAGCAGTATGTAATTTTCACATTTTATGGGGGATATGAATTCATGGGTTCTTTATACAATGAAAACAAAGAAATTTACCCCCCACAAAAATTTGTGATTTCACAGTGTTCTACCATTTGATACTTGTTCAACTGAATTTGTTTTACTGTAATTACTGGCTAGATTCATTTGTCTTCATATTTGATTATGTTCTAGCATTTGATACTTGTTTAAATGAATTTGTTTTACTATAATTACTGGAATAGAAAATTGATTGGCAAACTTGAAATTAAAAAAAAAATGCACATATTAGTTTTCATAGTATCATTATATGAACCTAATCAAAAATGTTAAATTTAAGAAATAGATTGAATACTTTGATTTACATGTTACATGTATATGATTTTCCAAAATTTCTGATAAATTACTCATATCATGATGCTGTCAGATATAAAATCACTGAAAACTCTGTTTTGGTATTTTTATTTAAATGAACTTGGGTCTTAATTTGTGTTAAAGGTGAGCTTTTTCAGAATTAAAAAAAATCTTTTGTGTACCTACATGTAAACAGGAAGAAGAAAATAGACTTGCTTTACCAAGCATAGAACAGCAGGCAGCAATAGAAGCTCCCCAAGCAGGCGTAGACACATGGAAATACCAGGCTCGTAACAATCTGATGTACGTTCCTGATGGTAAGTTTGTGTGACTTCTGGTCTTATGTTTGGGACTGTGGGTACTGGCATATCATCGACTCTTTCAGACATACATGTTCTATCAAACTTCTCAAGTGATATATATTTGAAGAAATTTTGTTCAAACACGTAGGATAATGATCATGGACAAAGAAAAGCAGATTGTTAGACAGTTTAGTGAACTACATAATGATCATAACTATGAAAGATTTAGACTTTATATTTTACTGATAAATTTTAAAAACTTGTTAATAAAAAGAAATGTTTATTGAAGGGTTGGGAAGGGGGCATCTTCGCTTGCCAAGGGTTTCCAATCCGAAATCTACTTTGGATCGGAAACCCTTGGCTAGCGAAGATGGGAAGGGGGTTATCACAGTTTGTGAGAGTTGAACTGTTATATCTTTTATATCATGTATAGGAGTTGAACTTTGATGTGTCAAACACCTTTCTGTCAAAATATCATTTGTTTTTCTAAGTTAGCTAGTCCATAGTCCCAACTACTTTTTTGAGTTTATTAAACACTTGGATATCTCAAAGATAAAAGTAAAAGTCATGAATATGAGTAATTTGATAAAAATATGATACAGTATATACAAATGCACAGGTTATTGTAGAAATATGCCAATTTCTTCTTTTAGGTGCAGACTTCAGTGCACAAGAAATCATAGATGCTCAGCAGAAAAAACCAAGAAAAATAGTACATGAGAACACACGCTTTACACACTGTCCCTGGAACAAAAACAAAAATCAGGCTCTCATAAAAGAGGCTGCCTCAGCGAAGGCCATCATCAATCAGGGGAAAATAGGACATGATGGCAAGGAAATACTTCCAGCCGAGTCCCCGCGGGTGAATGGCTATGGATTTGTGGGAACTCCCTCTCCAGCTCCAGGTGTTGATGAATCTCCTTTGATGACTTGGGGAGAAATTGAAAGTACCCCATTCAGATTGGAGGGTGGGGAAACACCACTTATTGGATCTGGACCAGCATTTAAAGTACTTTGAAATATAAGTCTTTTTTAATATCATTTTAGATTACTATATGTATATGATGTACATAGTACACTAGTATACTAGTATGTAGTATACTAGTGGTACATTAGGTGTACCACTAGTATAAGTGAACCAATATTCATGGAGAAAAATTGTATTATGTATGTCCCTAATATTCCCTTGAACTTTTACTTATATAGATTTTTTTTTGTTAAGATTCCAGAAATTCCCAAAAGGGATCAGTTAGCAATGGATTTAGCAGAGAAAGCCAGTAAATCTCACCGAGACAAGAAGGAAAAGGCTCTCCGCAGTGTTCAGGCTAGATTAGCATCGTAAGTATACAAAAACGTTTTGGTATATTAAATGTTGATTTTTAGCTCACCTGAGCCGAAGGCTCAAGTGAGCTTCTCTGATCACATTTTGTCCGTCGTCCGTCCGTCCGTCCGTCTGTCCGTCTGTCTGTCCGTCCGTCTGTAAACTTTTCACTTTTTTGACTTCTTCTCAAGAACCACTGGACCAATTTTGACCAAACTTGGTACAAAGCATCCTTGGGTGAAGGGGAATTTAAATTGTAAAAATGAAGGGCCAAGTCCCCTCACAAGGGGAGATAATCAAGAGAAGACAAAAATAGGGTGGGGTCATTAAAAAATCTTCTTCTCAAGAACCACAGGGCCAGTAAAGCTGAAACTTATATGGAAGCATCAATGTTTTACATAGAAATATATAGGAAAAATCTTTAAAAATCTTCTTCTCAAGAACCACAGGGCCAGAAAAGCTGAAACTAATGTGGAAGCATCCTGGGGTAGTGTAGATTCTAAATTTTTAAAATCATGACCCCTGGGGGTAGGGCGGGGCCACAATAGGGAATCCAAGTTTTACATTGAAATATGTAGAAAAAATCTTTAAAAATCTTCTCAAGAACCATTGGGCCAGAAAAGCTGAAACTAATGTGGAAGCATCTTGGGGTAGTGTAGATTCTAAATTGTTAAAATCATGACCCCAGGGGGTAGGGCGGGGCCACAATAGGGAATCCAAGTTTTACATTGAAATATATAGAAAAAATCTTAAAAAATCTTCTTCTCAAGAACCACAGGGCCAGAAAAGCTGAAACTAATGTAGAAGTATCCTGGGGTAGTGTAGATATAAATTGTTAAAAGCATGACACCCGGGGGTAGGGCGGGGCCACAATAGGGAATCCAAGTTTTACATTGAAATATATAGAAAAAATCTTAAAAAATCTTCTTCTCAAGAACCACAGGGCCAGAAAAGCTGAAACTAATGTAGAAGTATCCTTGGGTAGTGTAGATTCTAAATTGTTAAAATCATGACCCCTGGGATAGGATGGGACCACAATAGGTGTATTACATGGGGGAAAGTCTGGTGAAGAACAGCAGGGACAAAGTTACTCAGGTGAGCGTTGTGGCCCATGGGCCTCTTGTTTTTATTTGGTACCATAGATACTTGTATAAATGTACTTGTAAGGAATGACTTTATTTTACACTGATCTCTCCACAAAAGGAAGCTTTCATGGTTGCTTGTTTGAATTAACAATTTTTAAGTAATTGAAAATAAATTATGTTGAGATTGCTTTCAGTTTATCCATAATTATCTCCAGAGCCAGAGGCCCAATTGAGATTTTCTAAGGGATGAATGTCAGACGTATTTACATACGCATGTATGTAAATATTTTCATATTCATGGCCAGTACCACTCAGTCAATTTTAAATGAAATTCCACAATGAATCCTTATAATTAGGTTTATGTGATTCAAGTTTGTTCAAATTAAGGGCCTAGGCCATTTTCAAGGAGAGATATAATTAAAAAATACTGAAAATATGTTGGTGTCATTTAAAATCTTCTCAAGAACCTCTGGTCCAGAAAAGCTTTAGTGAAAGCTTCCTTAATGAGTGTATAATATTAGTGTAAATCATGACCAGTTGAGCTAGCTAGGTTGGGGTTGTTATTAGGGGTAAAGATTTACTTAGGAAATACCCACTGAAAGTGTTTTGATTAAAGATTATTGAGTATCAAATAATATATCATATATCCATTTTTTTCGCAATAATCTATTTTTCACATTTTTACGATCATTTTTAATTCACAAAAAATAAAACAGGCAGAATTTATGTCGATTATTGTGTGCCATAAAAATATTACCATTTTAATTTTTTTTAAGTCGTACAAAATAACTTACGCAAAATAAAAACTGAACAAATCTACCCTTTTTTCGCGAAATTTCAAACACGGGGAAAAAACGGATATAGGGTATGAGTACAAATAGGTACAATTCATTTGCTGACCACAAAAAGCCAGATAACTCTTAAACTTATACTAATTTCTGTTTTAATTTATGAGATTTTTGGATGAAGGAAATAAAGATAGTTCTTAAAATATACAGGAAAAATCTTTAAAATCTGCTTCTCAAAAACATTCCATGTAGCGTGAATGAGACTTATTCAAATTAATAGGACATGGTAGCTATCAATGAACGTGATGAATTTACATAAATGTATCAATTAAATTGTATTTCGATCTTGCCAAAAACATGAAATTTGATCCCCACAAAGTAATGAAAATACAGCACTAACAATTACCATAGACAACAAAAGATCTGTGCCAACTCAGATACATAGACACCTTGTAAAGGTTGTACATGTACTGTAAACTTGATTTACAGTGAACAGGATATAATGAATTAGCTTATAATAAATTGATTTTGATTCCTTGAAGTTTTATTATGAACTTATCAGATATTTAATTATGAATTACATTAATAACAATCAAATTTGTTCATCTCTGACACTTCACTGTAAGTGTGTTTTATTGTATACAGCAACAAAAAGATTATATTTCTAGATATCATTAACATAAGTCATCTGCTTACATGTACACAATTCTCATCTTTTTCAGACCATTTTCACCCAAGTTTGGACGTAGTACATCGGACAGGATAAGCTCCATGTCACCAGCTGCCCAGAGGTTAGCTCACTCACGACTGGGAATCCGATCCAACACAGACAAAGCTCTTCGAGCCAGTTACACCCCTTCTCCCTCCAACAGACTTCCTGGGGATAAGACACCTATCAGTCTTACCCCCAGTCGTACCCCTAAGAATGGCACCCCATCAGCAGTGCGGACACCAGGCAGTAAGAGAGAGGGTGGGGATGTTCAGTCCCTCACAGACAATCTATTACAGCTCCCCAAGCGACCTAAGGCTGCAGATTTCTTCTGAAGTATGCTGTTTGAATCACTGGGATATTACCCAGTATTTCATGATGAAAATTTTCAGTGAAGTTGTGGTGAAGAGAGCAGTGCAACATATTGTGTTCAGTGTGCTACAGAATGATGTTTTGTGAATAACATGCACATCATTATGTACAGTCCTTTTCAATGTAAAGCAAAAAGCAGATAACACTGAATTTTTTTATGTAATTAAAGTTAAAATTAAAAAAATTGCAAATGTTCTGTTTCTGGTCAACAGTATACGAAAGTACTTTTAATACATGTACATCAAAATAATTTAAGAAGATCATAGATTTTAAGTTGAATTTTAACGCCCTAAATAATTGTATTAAATTAAGAAAAAACTTGAATGTTTGTGTGAACTCAATTTTGATATACAGGGAAACAGGATCTTGACTTTTAAAGTCACTCATTGAAATTCTCAATATTAGTATCTCCCAAAATCTACAACTTACAAACTAGAAATTGTGTAGCAGTCTTATCACAGTGTATTAGACTTTTACTGTTATTTTATCATTCCTATTCAATGCATGAGAAGTTTATTATTTCAAGCCAATTCTGCAATGATCAAGTAATAATTGTGTTTTCTCGAGAAATATGTGCCTCTACGGTTCTTGCCTCAGTGGAAAAACTTGGTGGTCAAGGTTTGAAAATTTATAAAAAGACATATGGAAATGTTCACTGTGTAGTTACAAAGCAAACCACTTGCAGACGATAATGAGCAGATTGACAATTATTTCTCTATAAAATTACAAAATTCATATCCATTGGATCAAGGGACAGAAGACCCAAGAGTGGAACTAGGTTGATAATGTATTGAAATTGGGGATTTTCCCAGATAAATTGTATTCATGATAAGAATAAACTATATGGTCCATATGAAATAAGGCTTATATCCCTTTGATATGTATTGTGTTCATCATAGAAACGTTTGCCTCCACTCACCCACCGTTATTCTCTTCAGAAGGGAAATTGAAACACTTGTATATAGCTAAAATATTTTATGTTTTATAATTTTATAAAAGATTTTATTATTGAATTAAAATTTTAATAGATAAGTTAATTAGAACAAGGCCTCATGAAATTAAAAATGTTATGTCATTCCTGACAGGGTATTGATAGAGTCTGAATGCTGGAGTTTGAATTACTCGGTGATCTTAAGCTCTGTTTCCAGGCCCTCGTCAGGGTGTTGGTTGACTTGATTTTCCAATGCCAGGTTCTCCTTATCAGATGAAGCACTATCACGGAATTTCTCAGGATTTGTATTGCTCGTGTCTCCATTATGTATTGTATCTAGGTTTCTGCTTGTGTTTGAGTTACTATCACCATTTCTTTCCATTTTCACATTTTTGTCAGATTTTACGTTTTTGTTTTTTCGCTCAGGCTTATGTATGACCATTTCATTCTCAATTTCTTTGTTTTCTTGATGATCACTTTTTTCTCCATCTTTCTTTGAAAAATCCTTATCGCAAAATGCCCCCTCCCCACGGTGTGTCACAAATGGATCAGTTTTTGGAAGTACTGGACGAGCAAGACCTATTGTCGGTGTTTTCCATAGTTTCATTTTGGCTTCAGCAATTGTACGGTCCTTCTCAGCTTTCTCTAGCTTACTTGTTGCTTCCTGTATCGAGAGAAAATTATAATATACAATCGTTTTTTTATTTCTTTAAGCATTTATACAAACGTTTTGCTCTTCATATATACGTAATTCAATTTTCAAAACCGGTTAAATTTTCATATTAAAATCAAAAACATTATTGTTTTATTATTATTATTATTACACAGTTTATCATTTTAGGTAAACGAAACTATACCTGTATGACATTTCATGCAATATACATGTGTATACAGTTAGAGGTAATAAATTTATTATAGAACCCTGCGCACCTGTAGATAAGCATTGGCGGCCTCTCTTTCAATCTCTAGCTGTTGTAACCTTTCCTGGGCCTCCCTCAGGTTCTGTTCCTGTTTCTCCTTCAGCCCCTCCAGACCCTCCCGTTCCTGTCGTTCTTGACGAAGTAATTCCTCCTGCTCCTGGCGCAGTCTTTCTAGTTCTGCTCGCTTCTGGGACTCCTCCTCCAACAGACTGTCAATACACAAACAGCTTTGTTAGAATACGTTGAGAATTTTTACCTTGAAATTATGATTCTTGCTAAAGTACCACAATCAATACAGTGTAAATTGGTTCATGTGTATGCCCAAAGAGCTAAAATACTTATTGAAAGTTGTACCATTTTGAGTTGGTGTGGGAATCTGGGACAGTGCATGCATTTATTTCTTCATCTGATACTAATTAGCTGTGTATATTGCACAATTATATTATTACTTTGCTTGTAACTGGCGGACTATTTCCTCATCTCGCTTTGCTTGCCGCTCTTCCTCTAGAAGGCGCTGCAGTTCTCTCTTGACTTCCTCTAGCTCTCGCAGGCGACGTTTCTCCACTTCACGTAATGCTGCCTCCTTCAGCAACCGTGACTCTAAATCCTCTCGGGCCTATGTGTATCAAAGAATCTAGGTGATCCGAGTATTATATGATTCATATGTGTCTTAAACATGTATGTACTTTTACGTGCATGATTTGTCAAGTATTTCAAAATAACAACAGATTGTACATCTATACTTACGAGTTTTTCAGCTTCCAATGCTTCCATTTGTTCCCGAAGACGCATTTCATCCTGTCGATGACGCTTAAAAATATTCACGTATAATATATTCATAGCACCAAATAATTAAAGCCCTTCAGAATACAAAAGTACATCTATAAATTGGAAAGGTTTGGTCAGATATTTACCTCAGTGTACTCCTCCTGTAGACGCCGGAGGGTTTCCTCGTCCTCCAGCCTCTTTTTCACTTCCTCCTCCTCACGTTTCCTTTTTTCCCGTCTTCGCGCTTGTCTCTGTTTGGATTGGTGCTTGTGGTAGTGAAATTCAGGGTCCTCGCATTTATTGATGGCGAGATTTAATACTGTAGAACAGAATAAAGGTGTTCTGAAGATTGTCTATCTGAATATGTCATAAAATGTGGATTTTTTAAAAACATAAAGACATATAAAAACTTATTCATGTTAGGACTTGTTCGATGACGTAATCATTGTGACGCAAGTGTTAAACATTACGTTTTCTTTAATATACCGACCCGTGACCCATTCTGACCGTGTACGGGTGTCAGCAGCACTACACTCGTAAGGTTTGGAACTAGTATGGATGATGAATCGGTTTGGCTTTGATCCACCCTTATCTGACACAACCTGTCAATTATGAAGAAAAATCTTAATTGTCCTGTTTAGTGTTAAATCTACTAACTCAAAATATAAAAGCATACACAGGGGGGCGCTAACATACATTGCCTGGTTTTCGAGGGTGAAAATTTTCAATGTTACACTCAATTAAATGTAATATTTATTATATTATACTGAATGTTTTATACAAATACATATTACAGTGAACCTTGCGCGCATAAATTCTGCGCAGTCAATATTTTTTGGAATAACACCCGTCGTCAAGCAATGTTGACTGTTGCTAAGCTGAAGGGCGTGGCCTCATTATTCAGCGGATAATAGTAAATAAATATTGCATGTAGTTGAGTGTAACATTGAAAATTTTCACCCCAAGAAAACCATTGTCAACCTCGGCTGCTCCTCGGTTGACAATGGTTTTCGAGGGGTGAAAATTTTCAATGTTACACTCAACTTCATGCAATATTTATTATATTATACTGAATGTTTTATACAAATACATATTACAGTGAACCTTGCGCACATAAATTCTGCGTAGTCAATATTTTTTGGAATATCACCCGTCGTCAAGCAATGTTGACTGTTGCAATGCTGGAGGACGTAGCTTCATTATTCAGCGGGTAATAGTGTTTTTTAACAAATGTTTCTCGACGAATCAGATTCAACTAATTTACATGAAAGTATAATATTCAAGCATAGTGTGTTACCGAACCCTGTGAATGCATATGTTTTCGTCGCTTTGATATTACTGGTAGGGTACATGTTTATCTGTCACTCAAAAGAAAAGCAACGTTGTTTAAATTATATTGTAAATCTGTCATTCCTGTCATAAACAGGGAACGATTTATTTAAACAATGTCTGTTAAAACTACTGGTGCTTGACCTCTATTCTGCAGTCCTTGACAATGTTAATGCAGCCTTTGAGTTCCTTCTCTTGTGAATTAGGGAAGTATTTCAGAGTCTTCTTTCTGAGGACAAACCAGCGATCTTTCCAGCTCTTCACCTGATGACCTCTCTTACAGAGCATGCCCTATAAGAACAAACACGGAAAAATTGTCTCACTTATCATGTGTACATACGTAGATTTTAAAAAAGTAAGAATATAAGACACATCTTCATGCAATAATATTTAAAAAAAAGAAAACGGATCGAAAACTTATTCTATTTTTATATCTATTAAATATCTTTCTAGTTTTTTTAATTGCCATAAACATGCATTCGTCGAAATATATTTGATCTTCGGAAACTGAACAATATACATTTGCATATATATAAAATTTGTTTGGTACCTTTTGAAAAATGTCATCGATGTATAACTCGTAAATTTTTGTGAGGTAAAATTTCAAATCATTTTCTGCAAGTTTCGAGCCAAACAAGCCAATGAATACATCCTTAAATTCAATGAATTTCAAATTCCCTGTTGCAGTTTCTACTTCTTGAATCTTGTCCTCTAATTCAGCGAGTCCGGATATCGATACAAAGGACCGGAAAAGGATTCCCATTTCCTCACGATCGATGACCGGTGGTCCATTTGGAATACCATTTTCATCATCTTCAGACAGCAAGATGAATATCATCCACATTTTAAATAGATTTTGTTCATCAGACTTGTAAAGATTGAATTCGGACTTTGTGTAGTGATGATCATAGTAAATATTCCAACAGACTCTATATAGTTCAGAAGGGTCCTCGGCATTTCCTTTTGGGGGAGTATTGGAATTGACTTGTAGAAGTTCTTTATCTATTATTTTACACAGCAAAGGAAAGTCGATATTATTCCGTCCCTCAATATTCAGAAGCTCTTCCGATTTTTCAAACCCCAGAACTCTACCGAGACTTGAAATCAGGACCTATGCAAAGAATAAACAAGAACTCACACTGTAGAGGGCTGGTATGGGGGCAAAATCGGCACTATGACAAGTCAGCTCTACATGTAATATATGAATGAAAAATAAACATGCATTTTTTTTTTATACATATTTCGATGTGTCTGACAATTAATTTGTTTGCTTAATTAACTTATTTTTTCTTTAATTAACACATCAAAGGGACGAACAAAATTGAGAGTGAGAAAATAATGCTTTTTGTTTTAAATTATAAATGTATAGTTTTCAAGAAATATTTGTATATCATTATGCATATATCATAACATTCATTTAATGACCATAAGGTTAGCAAGATCACATAAAACGTGTATTTATAAATACATGTACATATACATATATATATATATATATATATATATATATATATATATATATATATATATATATATATATATATATATATATATATATATATATATATATATAAATGTTCATGTGATTCGAGACCCAAGAGAGATCATCAAATATAAACGTAAATTTACATCACTAGCTAAGTTGTAAATTACAGTCACCTTTAGCGTTGAAATGTGGGCGGTGCCGTCATGCGAGTCCACTAGTGTATTGAAGGTGTACCACAGGAGTTTGTTAACCTCAGTGGGGGATCTCAGGGGGGAGTGAGCCACCATGTCGTCAGAGGAAGATAATGATGACTGCTTAATGGACTTCTTGTTTTTTAACATTTCCGTGATAGATCTATAAAATAAAAACACATATACATAAAATCATTTGCCTTTTCAAAATTTCCCCAGTGAGAATTTTGAATTATCTTAGCTCAGGATAAGATTGCATGAATATAGGCTTGGAAGGAGAAGTTAATTTTTTGTGAGAAACAAAATTATGTGCAATTTCCATTTGTTTACCGTCGTTTTTCGAATCTATCCTCAATAATGAACATGTATTATGGATGGCTATAGTAGCGTGCTTGCTGTTCAATCAAATGAAATACTTTATCGAATCTTTGATCCGCCCTCCGGCAATTGAAACATTAGAGTAACCCCCCTTTGATTTAGATTACCGTAACACATGGCAGAACGAAATATAACATTTTTCTTCTTTTAAAAACAGGATGTGGCACGATGGATCTCATATTTACAACATTTACACATTTTGAAGACAGAAGACCGTTTCTTCTGCATGAAACTGTCAATATAGCGAGGATATTGTGACTCATAGATTTTATTGGGGAGCGGATCAAATTCAAAAGGTAAATAGTTATACTTTAAATAAATAATAAGATCGTCAACCCACCGACATTCAGTTTTCATGTTTAACATGTACCACATGTACACAGATACAAATCCAGTACCCCACTATAAGTCTGTTGCAGTATTCACATGTACGCTTACGGAGCTTGTGACGAATTAACTCATTTCACTTATCACGTGTAAATCATGGTAAAAAAAAAAACAAACAAACAAACAAAACAAACAAACAAAACAAATACATTCCACATACACTCAAATGCAGGCCAGATTAAATATTAACAATCGCGATTTTTAATAAAACATGAAACAAGGATTTTTTTTTCTTTCAAAAATACATTCTTATATCATTCCAATAATGTAAATTATGCATGATATATACTGGAAGTAGTTAAAATTCGCTGTAATATTCAATACGTGTATTATCATTTATGATTGGTGTACACAGACACAAGTATTTTACAGAGGGGATGAAAAGTGAGAAAAAAATCGGGATTGTTATATCAGTGAATACAATCGAAGGGAAAAGAACTGCTTTATCTATTCGCAAAGTGTATTTTAACTTTGTCAATATGGAAAAAAAAGAATACGTACATAGAGATCTGTTATCAGTATTAACATGTTTAAGCAAATCTTTCACACGTACAAACATTTCATTGTTCTCATATTTTTCCTGTCTGTACCTCTGGAATTTGACCGATTTTAAACATATTAAATCGCCCACCAATAAATTTTAAAGAAAAACTCTTATCCATGCGTCCAACTTCCTTCTTACCACGACCTGGACTTATTTGTATAGTTTGTATTTATAATACCATATACAGGACCAGCTTTAACACATTTTGTGCCCTGTTAACCTGTCGCCATTTTCTCTGTTCAAAACTTACCTTTGCGAGATGATATTAAACATGACGAAATGTAGGTAATTTCAGTTAAAGTTCATCAATCATCCATTAAGAACACAACATGTATGTAAGTCTAATGATCTCACGAGCCCCTGTACTTACTGAACGGATATTATAATGCGCCCAAGGATGATATAATTAGATTTAGGGACAACCAAAACATTTACATTTTACGCATAACAGCATTGTCATCAAGTACGTCAGTTCACACACACGAGTTGTTTCAAATTAATTCTCATGGCCTCAGGTAAGGTTATTTTGCTCCAAAGTCAAACTCTCTCTCTGTGTGCGGTGGTTACGACCTCAATCCAATCTCGCTCCAAATGCTTGCGCATTGATTTTAAATTCATAAAACTTTTTTTTTATTGCAGATTATTTACAATACTTAATGTAGTTGATATGGAAAACGCGTCAGAATGCCTCTGAAACTGGCATCAGTAATCTTTGGTCAGAGTTCTACACAAATTCAGACCGTCACTAGATGCTTCTGTTCCAATTCAAAAACCTTTGAACAGGTGCGACAACTAATTCGAACACACACGGAAGTGACAACAGATCACATGACTCCAGAGATACAACTTCATTTAATTACACCAAAATGTGCATTATGGCACAGTAGAGGAGAGGACTCGCCGTTCACTGATCCATTCTGGGCTTTCTACTGGCCGGGGGGACAGGTGTTATCAAGGTTTAATTTATGAAGATCTTCGTTTACTTAAATAGCAACATGATCCATATTTATCATCGATGTCATTTTTAACTTCCGTAAAATCTCATAAATTCATTGAAGCTCTTTTCTAGTCCTTATCAACAGAAGTGCAAACAAGGAAACGACGGCACAATTTTACTACTCAAATATTACATCACCATCTCTGGTTAACATCTCTAGCATCAGCTTATCGAAAGTTTTTACATCGTATCTTGTACATCGATTAAACATGAGCTATTGTGCAATTTTGAAGAGAGAAAAGGGAAAAGAATTTGTTGATTCATGCATTTCTTTTAATCCAGTAGCTTATAAGAAGTAATATTTGAGTAATAGTATCAATGATTGTTGAAAATTAATGTAACTTACCATGTTGAAAGCTAGCAGGCCCTTCATATTAGCGATGAGTAAGCCTGTATCTTGTGATTTTGTAGGTTTGTCCTAGACAATCCACGACTGTTTACTGACAAGAGAGTCCTTGATATCGGGAGTGGATGCGGGGCTTCCGCTATCGCCAGTAAGATGTCCGGCGCTCACACTGTCTGTGCTAACGATACAGACCACGGTGAATAAACTATTTTAACTTCCTCTCCTTTCATCTCTTTTATAGCGTTGGTAAAAATATTACCATGGAGAAGAGAGCTTTTATTTCCGTCTCTTAACTTTAATAATTTCACGGCACCTGATTTAAGCTGTATACATCATAGCTCAAAGTTCCACTTTAATTCAAGTGTAATTTAAAATTACATTCAATACTGTGATGATTAATGAATTGAAAAGGAAGGATGATTTTGGTCAATTAAGATAACAAAATTATATTTGTATTAATACATATTCTTTTTTTATGACTTTTAGTGGCCATAGAGGCTGTAAAAATGAACTGTGATCTGAACAGAGTCTGCGTGGATACGTCATCCGATGACATCATTGGTAGCAGACTTTATGACTGGGATATTGTGTTTCTAGGTGACATGTTCTATGATTTGGATTTTGTGGACAGGTTTAGCGTCTGGTTACCTAAGCTGTCCAAGGGAGGAATAGAGGTGTTAGTGGGTGACCCCGGTCGGCTACCACTGGTCAGCCATCCTCTGAGGAGGAATCTGGTCAGTCTTTATCAGTGTCCACTTCCGGAAAACTGTATCCGAGAAAACAGTGGCATGTCTACGGGAACAGTGTGGAAATTCAAGTGTTAAAGTGTAGAAGGCTTATTGTTGTGTTGGAGTCAGTAGATATCCATATTTAATATGCAAAATTTTGTTATTCATGTTTAGTTCGTTTATTGAATATTTTTTACCATAGAAATACTTACTTTATTGTTTGCTTTTTTTTTTTTAGTTTGAACGAGGACACAATTTAGCTTTGTCAAACATCAAAGCTTTAACTTCCGGATACAAGTTCCCCATTTAAAGGATCATTGGTCTGGTTCGTTTAACAGAAAAAAAAATGCAAAACGATCTATAGAAAACAGCTGTAAAAAATCAATATAATGATAACGTAGATAATACTCAAATACATGTATCTAACTTTACTGATAGGGACTCTATGGAATGATATAAAGTTTATCTTCAAAGTACCAAGATCACTTACGAAACAATATATACACACTCACATAAACACACATCATATATATAAATATTTATTATTTAAGCCCCTTGAAATCTTGCAATTGTATACAAAGACATTCATTCGCAACCCCACCCCACCCCAAAGGATTGTTAAGTTGAGACGTCCATCGATATCCCGGAGCTCCACCCAATGGTCAGTTTCTGTGTTGCGCTCTGAAAATTCCCAACGGAAACTGAACGTGTGCTTCATAAAGCCAAAATCACATAACATTGTCAGTTTTTAGGAAGTTGATCTATATATACAGTAGTAGAAGATGTTTGCTTCTGTTGAACACGATAAATGGCAGACCGTTTTGGATTTCTTAACAAAGGTTGGCGTAAGCGTTAAATATGGAACACCAGATTAACAAATGTACATGTATATTCAAATATTTGCACCTTCATATCTTCAAATATTTGTACCTACCTTCAAATAATTGAACCTATCTCCAAATGAATTGAAGATAGGTCTAAATGAATTAAAGATACTTACTTACCGCCCGTGACGCCTTTGGCGTATAGGTAGTAACGAGGGTTCTCCGTCCTTGTCTGTCACTGGCTAGCTTTTGTAGTGTGCTCCAACTTCTCCTTTGTTCTTTAAGTTCGGCTTCTACAATTCGCAGCCAAGAGACTTTGGACCTTCCTCTCTTCCGTTCAGTACATACTTTCCAAAATCCTATTCTGATCTTGGTCTTGGCCGTGTTGAGGGCCTCCTCATGTTGGTAGTTTTTCAATGGCTTTCACTACCTACAGTCATACTGGTTCTAGTACTGGTCCCAGAAAGGCTCTCATTCACAGGTACAGAGATATTCCTCGTTACTATTTCCGTAACACTACTTTTTTTTACCCCCCCCCCCCCGGGGCTCGGAGGGCCAGTGGTTTTCTGTTAGGGTGTCTTTCCCTTAGCCACGGTCTCCAGTTATTTCAATGCGCCGGACACTCGCCTTTTGCCACTGCCACTTAGATACTAAAGCATTTCCAGGGTCACCACGAGGAGGTGTGGCATGTGAACCTAGCAGAACCTATTTAAAGACGATGGGCATTGAAGTGGGGAGACCTAGTGGCATAAGTATCACCCCTTGAGACCCAAACCAGCATTTGACCCCAATTAAAGATAAGCCTATATAAATTTGCGTATATGTAAGGTAGAGATCCCACCCACCCCCAACTGAAATTGCTTCTTACGGGTCTGTTCCCTTTTTAACAGTGCATGTAGACAAATCTTGAAGAAACACTTAGATATCATCAGAATCTCGACAAGTTAAAAATGATTCAGTTCCACAGACTCCGATTTAGTGTTATAAGGAATGCTTTGAGAAGTAAAACATCGGTTTGGTTATGATCACTACACATTGAATTTCATAAGGGTACTCTTTGTATTCTTATATTAAATACAGAAATGCATGTTTATTGTCAATTAAGGACAGATGACACAAACAAATTTTTTCTTTGGAGGAGACTTAATATCATCTCAGTTTTAGAAACGTGGATAATTCTTTGAATGTTTCTCCTTAGACTTGGAGAATGAAATACCTTCCATATTTCCCTCAAAAAGTACACAACCAGAGTAATGGTAAAATTGTTTAATCTTCATTCATTTACCCTCTTTTTTTCTTCAAAAATGTTTCTAAAGGAGCACAGAGTGAACTGATATTACATTAAATTTTACTCAATAACCTGCTGTATTTTCTTGCATAAAAGAAATGACACTTGGAAAATATTAGTTGATACTTCAATAAAATTACAAATATGGACAAATCCCATTCAGTAAAAGTTGACAGATGAAAATAAATTTCAGAATATGTTAGCTTGGTGCTAAAAGTGTAATATAAACTTTAGAAAAATATACCAAGCCAGGTGAATTTTATGAGGAAAAGCAAAATGGTAAAAATTAGCACATAGCACATAGGCTAATTTTTACGATTTTGCTTTTCCTCATAAAATTCACCTGGCTTTGTATATTTTTCTAATATGTCCTTAATAAGAGTTACAAATATAAATACTAATAAATAGTTTGAATATAGGCCTCAAGATGATGGGTTTTAGTCAGAATTGAGACGTTGAGTGATATCCCTGAACATCACCCAATGGTTAATTTCTATGTTGCGCTCTGGAAATCTCCATCGGAAACTGAGCATGTGATTGATAAAGTCAAAACCACATCATACCATCAGTTTATAGGACGTCGATCTACATATTATAGAATTTTGTAGGGGGTTGATCTACATATAGCGCAAGAGGTTTGCTTCTGTGGAAAACGATAAATGGCAGTCTGTTTCGTAATTGGTTGATGTAAGAGTTAAACCAATACTTACAATATTGACGTAACATTCAGATATCATCCGAATCTCGGTAAGGTAGATCGAAGGGATTTTTTTAATTAAATAGCCCAACATTTTGCGTAATAGGGAATGCTTTGAGAAGTTTGGTTTCGATATCGAAGACAGTAAATTTCAGTCATAAAATCAATTTGTGCAATTTTAACTAACATTTACACACGACAAACATGCACTACAGAGGTGTTAAAATATAAAAATTTAGAAATTCATGAAGTAAACCTTGTTCTAGTATATATTTTTGGGTTTTTTCTTTTTTTCCCCATAAAACATACGAGATGTTTTGCGTGTTGAACCACGTAATTTTTGAACACCGTAACCTAGACGCGTCACATTTAATGCAGATGCGCTTCATAGATGACTACTCATTGTATTCTTCTATCAAATACATAATTGCATACATTGATAAACTGTATAAAAGGAAATCGTTGACATACCAAAAACAAAACTAAAAACGATCAGTTGGGACAGTCTGAGTTCCTTTGACTAATTAGCTTTCAATTGTCGTATATGTGAATTGCAACCAAATATCAAACCTGCGTTTTACACAGACAGTTAAAAACAGATGTATTTTAAAATATTCGATATTCACTTAACATGGTACATACAGAGAGGATCAGGAGTTTGATGAGCTGTGTTTACAATGACAGACTGATTTACAATGCAATCGTGCATGTTCTTTTGTACAAATGTATAAAATGTTTTAAGTTTTGAAAATGGCGTCTGTTAGTAAATCAATATAAAAGATTTCGAAAAAAGGAAAAAGAAATGTAGATAAAGGAAAAAAAATCTTTAAACAGATGTAAACATGTATATAAAGATGGTGAGATCTTAAATAATATCTTTATTGTCTATGTTTGCCTGTGTTTTTCCGACTGTGGAAAAAATTAAGGGAAAGGAAAATGGAAGAAGAGACAATGATAGAAAGAAAATCAAGATGAAGAAAATTGGGTTACAGTCAGGGTATGGCCCGTCGCATAAACTCTCTTTTATGGAAGCACAAACATTGGGATGTTCCACACTGAAATAAATCTTACTCAATCTGGACGACAGGGAGGAAATGTTTGCAAATTTAAAAATTGTCTACGGCATTCGATAGTTACGAAAGCCGGATAGGCTCATTTTTGACAAGATAAAAAAAATAATGAACTCGTTATAACGAGATAGTTATCTCGTTATAACGAGATAGTTATCTCGTTATAACGAGTTAGTTATCTCGTTATAACGAGTTAGTTATCTCGTTATAACGAGATAATTATCGCGTTATAACGAGTTAGTATCTCGTTTCAACGAGTTAGTTATCTTGTTATAACGAGTTAGTATCTCGTTATAACGAGATAATTATCTCGTTATAACGTATCTCGTTATAACGAGTTAGTTATCTCGTTATAACGAGTTAGTTATCTCGTTATAAAGAGTTAGTTATCTCGTTATAACGAGTTAGTATCTCGTTATAACGAGATAATTTTCTCGTTATAACGAGATAACTAATTCGTTATAACGAGATAAATAACTCGTTATAACGAGATAGTTTT